AATGGGAGCTTGGGACGGATGGATGGGGCTCTTAGCTGGGCCTAGTGCAGTTAGTGCTGGTACTTTTCCACTCCGGGAAGCTGGAATAGTCAATTGGCTTTCCTGTCTGGGAGATTGGTGGGTAGTAGAAACCACCAAGACAACACAGCAGGCAAAACCAGGAGCTACTTCTTTGCTGCAGGGTCTCCCATGTGATTGATTCAACACTTTTCCTATGTTTCATAGTGCAGAGAAGATAGATTGGTGAGATCTGATGAACAGAGTGGGGGGATAGGAAGAAAGAATAGGACCTGATATTTAGAACTTGGGCCAACTTGGCACTTCTGATTCTACCCTAATGGCTGGGATTCCTTCCACAGAGTTTGCCCAAAATAGGCATGTTCAATAGGAAAACCACACTGGTACTGCTGAGAAGTGCCACGTTGGTTACCCTGGGCCAAAGCTTCTTTTGGTTCCAAACATTTAGTAGGATGAGAAAGGCCATCCAAGATCAGCTTGTATATTTTCCTGTGTCTTTTCTGTGAGAGCCCTAAGAAACTGTCCATTAGTTTTAATAGTTTTAATGTGGCCATTGCTGCTTTACTGGTTCTTAGCTCTGAATTCTTTATTTTCACTTCTATGTTCCCAATTTCTAGACCTCAGCCTAATTCCTATTGTTGAAGGATGGTTTTGCTTTCTATGGTTTTAGTTACCCAAGGATGACCATACTCTGAAGATATTAAATGGAAAATTTCATAAATAAACAATCCCTAAGTTTTAGCGATTCTGATTAGCGTGATGAAATTGTATGCTCTACCACTCTGTCCCAACACATCTCATATCATTTTATTTTATTTTATTTCATCCTATTATGTATGAAGAACTGGAAGGATTTATAATAGTCCAGATATGAAGTGATGGAGGTTGGGCTTTATGTGGGAGGAGAAAAATAACTGGGGTTCAAGAAATTTTCAGGAGGTGGAAGTTTTCATATTTGTTGATGGGACTGTATGGTACTCAAAACCATCCTTACTTCTGCCTTGATCTGTTTGCTGATGCTACAGTAGAATGCCATAGACTTTATAACTTAAAAATAAAGACATTTATTTCTTACACTTCTGAAATCTGGAAAGTCTAAGAGCATGTCATTAGCATTCAGTGAAGTCTGTCTTACTATATGACAAAATGGTAAAGGGCATTGTGTGGCAGGACAGAGCAAGTAGGCTAGCATGTCATCTTTTCTTTTTCATAGCCACCAACACCATCATGGTAACTCAATTTTCTCAACTTTATCCAATCTTAATTACCTACCAAATGTTCCACCCCCAAATATCATTAACATATGACTTTGATAATTAAATTTTTAGCAGATGAATTCCAAGAGGATTAGCTAAACCATGGCAACTGTTCACGCTTCAATTGCTTCCTGACAGGAATCATAAGTTATCTATTGAACTTAAATGATTCCTCTGCAAAAATTCTGTTTTGGTCTTTAGGTAGAAGGTTGACTTAGAGAAAGTCTTTCATCAATGCTGATACTGTGCTGTTTAATCCTTCTATGAGGAGAAGGCTGGAGAGGAAAAGGAAGGGCACAAGACACTGACACATTTAACATTTCTTATTTATTTCTTTTGTGCTATTACTGGGGCTTGAACTCAGGGACTTGTGCTCTGTCTTAGCTTTTACATTCAAGGTTGGTACTCGATCACTTGATCACTTCCAGTTTTTTCCTGGTTAATAGGGGATAAGAATCTCTGAGACTGGGATGGCTTTGAACTATAAACTTTATATCTCAGCCTCTTGAGAAGCTATGATTACAGGCATGAGCCACCTGACTACATTTAACATTCCTTTATATGCATAGTAAAGGCTATTTTCCTTCCCTGGTTTATCTTGGTCTTATACCAGAATGTGCATCATTTGTGTCGGAGGATTGGATAAGACACAATTTACCAAAATCTTTCAGGATTCTGACCTAAATAAATCTGGGATGGGGACTTTTGCATATTTACCTAATTCCAAGGTGATACTGATGCTACCCTAATAATAAATGGAATATAGTCATGATAAGGATAGTATATAGCTTACAGGAAGGGATTGGAACTCTTTTGATATCAATATGCAGGGTATCCTTGTATAGATTTTTGTCTTCCTGCTCCTTTCCATTCTTTCTGTCATATGTTTTTCAAATCTCTTTTACCTTGTTTTCTTCATCTGTTAATTAAATAAAGTTCATGGGAAGTGTTCAGTTAGGACCCCTCCCCCCCCCCCGCAATAAAAGTATTTCAGGGAAATAGAATCTCATAGGGCAGTAGCAGTTACTTGGTTAAAATATCTTGGTTGCTGTCCCAGAGATGAGCTAGTCCTTGGTGGGGAAGTTACAACAATATCATGACTCACTGTTGATTCTCCTTCCCATTTTCTGGCGTACTTTAGCTGTTCTGGGAAGCAAAGGTAATCATGGGCCTAATGTTTAGAGATGCATGATGGCCAAGAATGAGGCTCAAGGACTGGATGGTGTATTTCTCTAATTACCAGCATGGCCCTAGAGAACCATCATCACAGGTCCAGTGTGGGTGGGACCTGGAGCAATGGCTTCTGAACTTCAACACACAGCAGAACAACTGGAAAGAGCTTTACTGAAGAGTAACTGGAGAGAACTTTACTAACACGTGCATTTTTGGACACAGCTTAAGATAAAATAAAACTGGATCGCTAAGGAGGGCTCACAGATGTGTATTCTGATACCTCTTCAGAAACCTCTAAAGAAACTGGCGCATGGATTGGCTATTGAAGATCTCACCCAGATTCCTTGCTTTCCACCTGACAAAACTGAGGCCCAAAGAGGGTTAGGAGCTCAGTTCCTACCTTGGATAAATGGTAGAGTCAGAGGTGGATTTGAAATCTTAGTGTTTGAAGGTTACAGCTTAGTGGATCATAGACATCAAGTTCTAAGATAGTTTTTACTTGGTGAAAAATCTTAGTTAAGCTCTTACAAATTATAGAATTAGTGGGCAACAGGAAACATTGAATGAAAAAGAATGGTCATATAATCTGACATTCAATGTGTCCTAAATGGATATTTATTGCTATATTTCACCATATTTATTAGACTATTGATTCCAAGCTATGTGATTACTTTGTATGCCTCTAAGAAATAAAGAAATGGAGAAAAACCCACTGCTAGTTAACCAAGGACACTGTTTGCTTATAGGATGCAACTAGATTTGGTAAATGTTAATGTGAAAAAAGAATATAATGTGTCATCTCTCCATGATAAATCTCTTTTGGATCTTATGATGATTCTTGTCTCTGAATTAAATTCTTTACAGCTTGCCTGGAGGTTCTGGCAGGGAAGCGCAGCTACTCATATACACTTGACGGAAGACTGGTCTTCTTCTATCAGGGATGGGAACTTCGGGAGGGACACACATGGAGCAGTGAGGGAGGAATGGGACCCCCCCCCCCCCCAGCCAGCCAGATTAGCTGAATCAATCCTGGCCATCAATGGGGTGACAGATGTCACAGCCAGGTTACTCTCACATCCTCAATTAAATTCTTATCTCCATACTAAATGCAGATTCCTAAAGAACAGTCATAGTTGTGTGTTCCACAGAGAGGCCAGTGTGGCTCATGGTGAATATGGACTGGAAACTAAATCCAAGACAGCTAGGGAACAGGTTATGCAGGCCCTTGAAGACCATGCAAAGGATTTGAATTTATTTATTTACTTTTCTGTTGGTCCTGGGGCTTGAACTCAGGACCTGAATGTTGACCCCAAACTTCTTTTGCACAAGACTAGCACTCTTCCACTTGAAGCTTCCTGCTTTTTCTGAGTAGTTACTGGACATAAGAGTCTCATGGACTTTGCTACCCAGGGTGGATTTGAAATGAAATCCTCAGATCTCAGCCTCCTGAGTAGCTAGGATCACTTTACTCTATCTTGGTCAAAAGTGGAAGCCCACCCTTGATTATTGTTTATAGCCAGGACCCAAGTACACCACTCATTAAGACCAAAAATATATTAGATCCCTTGATAGGGTAGTATGCTGGTTTGCTCTATAGTTTTATGTAATCAGCTATCTATGGAAAAAGAAGTTCTATGAAGCATTGAGCTTCCTGGTGATCACAAGGAGAACTCACTGTTATTGGAATATTGATTAGAGGTACATGTCTGCTATAGTTTATTTCTTCTGACTAAAACTGAGTAGCCAGGCACCAGTAGCTCACACCAGCTACTAGGAAACTGAATTCTGGGGATTAGGGTTCAAAGCCAGCTTGGGCAGAAATGTCTATGAGATTCTTATCTCCATATAACCACCAAAAATCTGGAAGTGGAGCTTGTGCCTCAAGTGGAAGAGTCCTTTGAGCAGAAAAGCTCAGGGACAGTTCAAGCTCTAGGACTGGTACACATGTGTGTACACACACTTATAGAAATACACACACACACACAAAACAATAACAACAATTCAATTTTATTGAATAAAAGGATAGGTAATGACCTTAGGTTATTTGTCAGAGTTTGGATCAAAAGATAGATTTGTCTGAAGGCCAAATCATATATATATATATATATACTGTACAGAGGGGTTACAGTTACATGAGTAACAAAATGAGTACATTTTGTAGTGAGCATTGTTACCTCCTCCTTTGTTTTCCCCCATCATCCCTTCCCTCCCCACCTCCCCAACTCCTCCCTTCCTTCCTCCCCACTCCCATTTTGTAAAGTTCATTTTCAACAGTGTCTTGTACATCTCATTGTTATAATGAGTCAACCTGTATCCTTATTTAAGCATTTTATTATTTCTGAAGGCCAAGTCTTGAATGTGTAAGTAGTATTTGGAGTCAGGGCTAGGAAGAAAAGTCTTGTAGAGTTAGGGTGATTAAATTGGAGCCATAGAGCAATTTAGTAAGATTTCAATTCTCTTATGCTAGGTTCAGTGATCAATTACAGTCTTCCTGGGAGGCTTTGGGTATCAAAATGAAAGCATGTCCTCTCTTTTTGGTTTTTCTTGGTCCAGCTGTGTGCCGCTATCCTCTGGGCATGTCAGGAGGCCACATTCCAGATGAGGACATCACAGCTTCCAGTCAGTGGTCAGAGTCCACAGCTGCCAAATATGGAAGGTGAGGATGAATGTATTAAGAAACCCTGAAATCTGTGCAAAATGGATTTCTTACAGACAGAACCCTGATTCAAAGAGGGGGTGATTCTGATGAGAGCTGGTAGGGATGGAGAGAAGATGTGGAGTGAGCCCGTTTCAGGGAGAGAATACAGGGCTTGGCTGCATCTGCTGGTCTGGCAACCTCATCCCAACCACAGAACCCCAGAGCCACACCACCCACAGTGAATGGACTCATTGATATGTAATGCATTTTTACCTGACCTCCCTGTGAGCTTCTGCAGCAGGGAGGCCAAAGCTGCAGATCCAAGAAGGTACAGATGGTATGGGATGCTGAGAATGAGGAGCTTTGCCTTACTTTCCAGAGGGTGTCTGTGAAGCATCACCCACTGTGCAAGGCTTCAAGGGCTTTACACTGAGGTCTCCAACAAACTCTTCCCCTCTCCTGAGAAAATAGCACACAGAAGGGCCATGCCCATCTATAAACAGGGTATGGGAGGTTCCTTATGGTACTGTTTCATGAAGTTCTTTAAACCAACAAACTCGCACATTAAAAATTGTTCTGCTAGTTGAGACCTAAAGCTTCTCCTGGAATCTAATTCTTTCAGTGTTGAGGTACTTAGTTTGTTGAACTGAATGATCACCCATGAGGAAAGTAAACCTTGATAAACCTTTCCCATAATATTTAGCTTAGTGTGTATGGTCGGTGGGGTTTGAAAGGAGCAACAAATGAGTGGGTAACATCTGTGACCAAAAGGGAGCATTCCAGAGAAGAGAGAAAGTGGTAAGAGGTTCCCAAAATAAACTGATTTCACAATTTCTCTCAGAGTAGCCCAGCCTGGTGGCAATAAAACGAAAGCAGATTATTTACTGTTCCCTTGACATGCTCTTAGCCCTCTCCATGGGTTTCCATGGCTTTTACTGGGTGGCCATACCCATCTGCTGGTTAAGATTCCACTGCATTGACTAGCCCACACTGGAGATGCTACTATTCCTCCATCCCTGCTCCCATAATTTCATAGGAGCCACTGGCTTTGTTAGGCTGAGTCTAAAAAATTAGAAATGGAGGGATGGTGAAATGACTTCATGGAGGGTATAGACAGTTTCATTTCCCTTGACATGTCTAATTCCAGAATGGAAAACAAAGACTATGCGATCTGAATGCTTCCATGTCCATGGTGCTAACTGTCTTTTGGTTTCATGGTGCTTCAGAGAAAGGAAATTGACCATGAGTTAGAATGAGAAAGAATTCATTTACACTTGATTTCCAGCCTTCTTTTTCCTCTCTGAGCAGGACAGCTGCTTGCTACAAACACCCTATGGTTTCATAGCTGCTCATTCTCTCCCCAATCCTTTTCTCTCAAGGCTGGACTCAGAAGAAGGAGATGGAGCCTGGTGCCCTGAGATTCCAGTGGAACCTGATGACCTGAAAGAATTTCTGCAGATTGATTTGCACACACTACACTTTATCACTCTTGTGGGGACCCAGGGACGCCATGCTGGGGGCCATGGCATTGAGTTTGCACCAATGTACAAGATCAACTATAGTCGGGATGGCACTCGTTGGATTTCTTGGCGGAATCGGCATGGGAAACAGGTAGGAAGAAGAGACATCCATACCCTGGAGATGTCAAAGACCATATTTTAACGTAAGCTAAAAGAAGAGCACACATTGTCTATGTAGGTATGTGTGTCTACAGACTTGTCATACTCTTGTAACTGATATCCCAAGGTGACAGGGATGGTCTAAAGAGAGAAATATTAGGGCTGTAAGGAAAATTAAGTGGGTACTTTCTGCTCCTTAATTAAAAAGAGTATCAAAAGGCTTATATGGTTAAGAAGGTGATCAGAATTTCATGACATCTCTCTCTTTCCTTAGGTGCTGGATGGAAATAGTAACCCCTATGACATTTTCCTAAAGGACCTGGAGCCGCCCATTGTGGCTAGATTTGTTCGCTTCATTCCAGTCACAGACCACTCCATGAATGTGTGCATGAGAGTGGAGCTTTATGGCTGTGTTTGGCTAGGTAGGTGTTGAGCACAAGGTCCTTACAGACCTATGGAAAATTCCAACCCCAGGGATGGGATCAGTTACCCATGGGATAAAGTGATTCCCTCTGGGGCATTGTTTATCCACCCAGGGTTTGGTGCCCCACACCTAGACTAATGGATTCATGAGTCACACTGCTGACTGCCACTGAGAAGTGCTCCTCAGTAGTGCTCCCTCATGCCAAACTGAGCCCTCATGGACATGCTATGTAAGATTGCACCCTTGAAACGCATATCACTTCCTGAGATAGTATCTTAGCAGCAGGTATGTCTCCTTCCCCAAGGCACTGACTGCTGTGTTTCTTTTGACAGATGGCTTAGTGTCTTACAACGCTCCAGCCGGGCAGCAGTTTGTACTCCCTGGAGGATCCATCATTTATCTGAATGATTCTGTGTATGATGGAGCAGTTGGGTACAGGTAAATTCAAGATAATATTGATCATCACAATGGGAAAGTGGCCACTAGGAAAGGATTGTTTCATCATGACTTGATCAATGATAAACCAACCAACCAAATGGTATTTATTTAGCCCCTATATTCAATTTGTGAAATAAATTAGATGAAGTCTTTATTTCTAAGGGACTTAAAGCCTGCTTTTGGAGGACAAGATAACCACACAGTAAACAACCATAGATTGTCCAAGGGCTAAACTTTGAGGTATGACTCTAAGGGTGGTAGACATATTTTTGAAAACAAAACCAGAACATATGTTCTAACATAAATCTTGGTCTATTTGTGGGGATAAAGAACCAGAAGAATTGACATAATAAGTATGATGAACTAGGAAAGTCACAAAGTTCAGAACAACTGGACTCTATAAATATCAACAATCTAGAAATTGGGAAAAGGAAGAACTTAGTAGTGCTTACGATTAACAAAGAAGTTTCTAGAATGAGATGAGAATTGATGCAGGAGAAGGCAAATGATAGGGAGTAGAGAAACCAGACAAAGGACAGGAATGATCTGGTTATGTTAAAAGTTGAAGCTGGAAGTAATAGAAATGTCAAATGGATAGGTTGGTACATAGCCATGGTGGAGAAGCAGCATAGAATTGAATAAAGGATGTCTTTACTTACTGTAGTCTACTCTAAGCAACCAACAAGAATGGAAAACCTGGGGGAAAGATATAATTTATTTTATTGGAGTGTAGAGTGATTAATTTTTTTTCAAGTCATGGGACTTGAACTCTGGGCCTGGTCACTGTCCATCAGCTCTCCAGCTCAAGCGCTCTACCACTTGAGCCACAGCTCCACTTCTGGTTTTCTGGTGGTTTATTGGAGATAAGAGTCTCATGGACTTTCTTTCCCGGGCTGGCTTTGAACCGTGATCCTAGATCTCAGCCCCCTTAGTAGCTGGGATTACAGGCATGAGCCACCAGTGTCTGGCAGATTAATTTATTTTGATATATAGATTAAGAGAAAATAATGATGTTCAGATGGAGAAATGATGAAGGCAGCTATAAATACAGCTTTAGATTCAGTGGGGAGACAAAATAATTAAAGAAATTTAGACACTTGATAACTGTTTTAATGACATATCTGGTTTGATGTGGCTGAATGAGGAAAACCAAGATACCTGGATGAGAGTCTCAGGGAATAGAGTTGTAATGTGCACATTTTAAATTAAAAATTACAGGAGTAACTTTATGTTAAATTATATACAGTACACTTCCTTTTTTATTCTCCATTTGACTTCATTTTGATCAAGGATAAAAGGAATAATTATTTCTTTTAATTTATATTGCTTCCCATAAGATATTCATGGAATATATTTTTCTGGGGACAATGAGAACTATACTTATTTCAAGTAAATGTATGTTCTCCTAGCCTTCTGATCTCTAGAAAGAAGAAAAAGATGGCAAATCTTACAAGGGGGAATCTGGGCTCTGGTCACTATGGATAAGGCCAGTTGATTTTATAATTTGCCAAACATTTTAAATTACTGTATATAGTATTGAAAGGTGGCTACTAAAATGATAGGCCTTGAATATTTTATGCAAATTTATTTATATGAAATCACTAATTCTCTTGGTGCAAGGTATGTCACCCACTACTATAAAGCCTCTAAGATAATCATAGATGCAAGGCAAAGCAGTATGATGAATGCTCTTTCTCAAATGTGTGATTAACTCCTAGTTCTTTTCTCCTTTCCTTCTCTTTTCTTGGCCTGAGCAGCATGACTGAAGGGCTGGGCCAATTAACAGATGGGGTGTCTGGCCTGGATGATTTTACCCAGACCCATGAATACCATGTGTGGCCGGGCTATGACTACGTGGGCTGGCGGAACGAGAGTGCCACTAATGGCTACATTGAGATCATGTTTGAATTTGACCGCATCAGGAACTTTACTACCATGAAGGTCAGTGGAGTTAGGTATGGTAGTCCTTTCTCAAGGAAGTCAAAATCATAGTGTGGGAGAGGAAAGACATGCTAGAAATTACCATGAGCTGACTAGGTTCAAGTCATAAGCTATGAACCCAATTAGGTTCAAATATGTAGCTCACCCATTACCTCATTATATGCATTTCAAAGTCACTTTGCCTCTAAGGGCTTGTTTCTTCATTTGTAAAAGCTCTAACCAGGATAGTGTAGACCAGATTAGTTGTTCTCATCATTTTCTTTCTTTCTTTTCTTCCCAATACCAGAGCCAAATATTCCTATTCCATTTTATCAACTTATTGCCAACCAGTTAAGAGAAAATAAGTCAATTGTGCTGAGTAGTTGGATGGAAGGCAAAGGTTTGGCAGACATCTTAAAACTGTGTCATGATGGACCATAGTAAATAGACACATAAGAACTGGAGGAGGAAGCTGCAAGGTCTTACCCATTTCACTAGTAATCCTTACTGGTGTATCAAGAAAACATGAGAATTTAATATAAGCCTTAAGAAAGAGTAATGAATGAATTTGACCCTACACATGTTTGCTTTTTCCCCCTCCCCATTAATCATTGGCTAATGACTACAGAATTAATGACCCTGCCGCTGTTTATATTCAGTACTCAGCTTCAGTGATGGTGCCTCACATGCATCTATACTTTTATTTTTGTTTGTTAATATTTATGAACTGTCGTTGGAGTATACACAGACTGTGCTTTGTTTGAGTGTAAACAGGCAAATAAAAAGTGATCTCTGTTTTAGGACAATTTGCTGTTCAGTGAAGAAGGTAATAAAGGATCTATGTAAACTGGTAAAGAGATCTGAAAGAAGAAAATTTGTGCTCTTATCCAGGGTTCCAATTTCAAAATTTATTATTTCCTATGCAAACTAGGCTTATTATTTTCAGATATCAGAATGATATCTCTTAATCAGATGAACAGCTATTAGTTAAATGAACAAACACTTAAGATAAAAACAGACATATTATCATATATCCAAATCTGATGGATTATTGTTCAAGCATGGATGTTTCTTTCATAGTTGTAAAAATGTAACACATTACTTACTATGTGGAACACATTATTCTTTGACTTTTTTTTTTTTGAGGTGAGAGGATGGAGAAAGAAAATGTGTAGCAAAAATATAATGCAAGAGGAACAGTTTCATATTCCTATATAATGTGTATAGCCACATGTACCTAAGAACCTATATATCATTTCACAAGTATTTACTGTGAGAGTAACTAGTCAAATAAATAATGAATTGCATTTTACCCTATCCATAAAGTTCTAATATTCAACCAATAAACTTAACCTTCCTGAATCACTAAGATTCTGTTTAATTAGTTAGTCACAGTCAAAACTGCAATGACAAAGCACTTAAAGCCTTCAAGGAGAAGATTCAAGACAGCCTTCTCAAGGCCAAATAGGTCTCTAGCACATATTATTTTTCTAGATAAATATAAAGTAGAAAACCTGACTTTCAGTATACTGAGATCTTCTAGAAAGTATTTTCCCCCTAGGTAAATTAACACTCATCTTCTACTTTGAATTAAGGTTAAAATATAGCATCAACATATATTAATTATTTTAAAAATGCATTGTTTTATTAAATAAATATGTAAGACCATATGGGAATGAAATCCTATTTATTTGCATTCCAGAAGAATTCCCAAGACATCTGTTAGAAAGATTATGACTTTCCCCACAGGACACTTATCCAATGGTTTGCAGATTTCAAAAACATCTGAAAAATCTATTGAAGTTGTAGATGGTATTTCTTTGATTTTTTTCTTACCCTTACTCTATTGACTTTTACCCGATAAAATGGAATGAGTAATTCACTCCAAGGAAGGCATTAACCTATGTTTTCATCAGTAAAACATCTGGATAAAAATCGAAATGGAAACATTAAAATGCTTTGCTACATTTCTGTGTGGCATAATATGTGGAAAATGGACTAGAAGTCCAGAGCTCTAGACTCAGGCCTGTTGAAAAGTCCCTGTAGTCAAGACAAACTACTTTGAGCTTCATTAGTAAGTAAAGAGTTTAGATAGAAGATTTTTTTTAAAACAAGTTCTCTAATAGCTTGAATGTTGTATTATTAGAATAAGTCTGGTCTGGTCTTGAGTCCTTGTTTAGGTTGGACTATAAAAGTACTTCCATAGGCTTATATAGTGAATGCTTGGTTTCCATATGGTAGTATTATTTTGAGAAGTTCTGGAAACATTAGTTAGTAGTACCTCATTGGAAGGAATAGATCTATAAGTTCCTTCCTCACTCTTTGCTTCCTGTCCACCATGAGGTGAAGTGCTTCCTCCTCCACACACTCCCATCATCATGATTCTCTGGTGAAGCCAAGCAACATGGATTGAACCCTCTGAAACCATGAACCACATATACATGCACACACACACACAAACACACACACACACACACACATACCAATCTTTCCATCTTTAAGTTGCTCTCTAAGGTATTTTTTCACAGCTATGCAAAAGCAACTAAGACACACACACACACACACACACACACACACACACACACACACACACACAATATTAGTACCAGAGAAGTGGGGCTGTCACTGTGACTAAATCAGACCATGTGGTTTTTAAATCTTTGGAACTGGTTTGTTGGAAGAATTTGGAAGTTTGGATAAGTGGGTAGAGAAAGCTGAGGATGCTATAATCAGAACTTAATGAGGGATTCTCATGGGGCCTCAGAACAGAATGCCAATGGAAATGCCCACAGTAGAGTTAACAGATGGAAATGAAGATTCTATTGGGAATTTGACTAGAGGACAGTCTGGTTATAATCTGGCAAATAATTTGTTTTTATTTTTTTTCTACTTCCTGAGTCATTGAGAATGAATATAAAAGGAATGGACTAATTAATTTATTGCAGGAAATTTCAAGACAACATAACATTCAGGCTGTGGAATGGTTATTGCTGGCTGCTTTTAATAAAGCTTACAGTGAGAATCATGAGTAAAAAGCCCAAGAGAAAGATTAAAAAACATGCAATTTTGTCTAGAAGAAGACATGTTTTAAGTTGTATATTAGGAGAGCATGGTTGTTAAAGATATTAGTACCATTAAAAATAAATCAAACTATGCATTGGTGGCTCATGTCTAGAATCCTAGCTTCTCAGGAGGTTGGGAACTGAAGATCACAGTTTGAAGCCAGCCCAGTCGGGAAAGTCTATGAGACTCTTTTTTTTTTTTTGTCGGCCGTGGGGCTTGAACTCTGGGCCTGGGCACTGTCCCTCAGCTCTTCAGCTCAAGGCGAGTGCTCCACCACTTGAGCTACAGCGCCACTTCCGGTTTTCTGGTGGTTTTTAATGGAGATAGGAGTCTCACGGTCTCTCCTGCCCGGGCTGGCTTTGAGCCTTGATCCTAAGATCTCAGCCTCCTGAGTAGCTAGGATTACAGGCGTGAGCCACCAGCGCCCGGCTTCTATGAGACTATTATCTCCAGTTAACAACCAGAAAACCAGAACTGGAGTTGTGGCTCAAAGTGGTAGAGCACCAGCCTTGAACAAAAAAGTTCAGGGGCAGTGCTCACACCCTGAGTTCAAGTCCCAAGACCAACAAAAATCAATCATCAATTAACCAACCAATCAAGGGCTGGATGTGTGGCTCAGCAATAAGGCACCTCCTTAGCATTTATGAGGCCTGAGTTCCAATCCAGTACTGGGAAAAGAAGCATGATGGTTCACACTGGTAATTCCAGCTTTGCAGGATCCTTCCTCCACCAGTGTGGCTGGTGTCACTTCAGGTATGACAGGAAGCCTAAAATAGGTCCAGGGAAACACTTAGGGGAAAAGTGAGATCCTATCTCAAAACAACAAGTACAAAAACAAAACAAAACAAAATAAAAACACAAATGTAGCCTAACAAGTGTAAGGCCCTGAATTCAAACCCTAGTACCACAGAAAATAAGCAAAAACTTTGTACAGGGATGAAAAGAAAGATGCCTTGAAGGTATTTCAGGAAATGACCAGATTTATGCCCTTCACAACCTCTAGGTTTTAAAACTCTAAACTCACTTGAAAGAGAAGAGAAGAGAGTGTGTCTACAGAGCACCCCACTATCACAGAACTGGTTCAGCTATCCAGGCAATTGGAAGCTACTACAGCTTCTGGGTTTGGCTACTGCTTGAATTGGGAGGAGGTCTTGGCATCATCTATGGCATGTTAATGTTGCAGGCATAAAGAATGCCAGAGTTACAGAGTCATAAAGGCTTCTACTTTGATTCCAAAGGAAGACCTAGGAGTCTAGACAACGTGTGGGAGGGTCAGGATCCTCATGGGCAGCTGTGAAGAGGGGAATGTATGTGGCTGTGAAGATGAAGCCTGAGCTGCGGAGGAGAGCCGGGATGTTGTACAAGCCAGGGATGCGGAACATCTGCTGAGAAAAGCTGACGTCAGCGTGCATAGCCAGGACAAGAGTGGGCTGCAGATAGCAAGGCTAAGGCAGTAGGCATGCCCAGGCCCTTTGGAGGTCACCTCGTGATAACCTGGGCCTGGGTGCTAGACTACAGCTACAGGATTTATTGTTTATCCTGCTGGGTTTTGTTCTTGCTCTGGTCTGATCATTCATTGCTATTTTCCTGTTTTTCCCTTTCTGGATGGAAATATTTTCTCTGTGATATTGAATCTTAGAATTATGTTAACTTTTTCCTCACAGCTAAGGGATTGCTTTGAGTCTCAGGAAAGACTCAGGACTTAGGCTTTTGAACAATATTGGAACTATTAAGACTTTGGGCACTCTAGGAGATGGACTAAGTACATTTTGCATTATGAAATGACCACAAATATTTGGAGGCTAGGGATGGAATGATAGGCTTTGATAATCAACTACCTCACATAGGATCAAATATCATATGTTGAATGTTTGGTTCCCATCCAGTGGTATTATTTTGGAAGGTACTCCCAACTTTAAGAGGTGGTATCTATTTAGAGAATGAAGGTCACTGGGTACATGGCTTTGAAGTCTGTACATAGTGTCTAGTTTCTTGCTTGCTTGCTTCTTCCTGTCCACCATAAGTGAGCAGTCTTCCTTTCACACACTCCCACCACCACGATGTTCTGTTCAAGCACATGACACCAAGAAACCATGAACCCAACGGAATATTTTCTCCTTCAAGTTGTTTCCTAGATGTTTTGGTTACAGCTACACAAAAAATAACACACAATTAATAAGTTTGTATCATCATGACTGCCTTTACCTCAGGTAACATTAATTTTGTATGTTAGTGATTTATGAACTATCTAGAAATCACAAGAGGGTATTGAAGACAGTGAGAGGATTATAATTCAGGGCCTAAGCAACACACTAAAAAAGAAATAGGAAATATATTTCTTGAATGACAACTAGATCTCTCCAACCTGTGATGCAATTAAATTCAAGGGGTAGTGGCCAAGAAAGATCCATTTCCCACAGAAGATTGAGTTGGAGGAAATGTTATTGGACATAAGTCCTTAGTTACAAACATTCATGCTTCTTTTTCTTGGATTGTGTAACATATATATTGCAGAGGGCTGTTGTGTCGCTTTTGCTTCTGGTGATATTAACACCATGCCCAACATGAAGGGCTCATGGAAGTAGGCAAGATGATGATGGTTACCTTCTCAAAGGTGTTCCTTTTTTTCTTAGAAATTATTAATGACAAAAATGTGATGCCCTTCTCAGAATGACTTGACTTTACCTAAACTGAATTTATTTAAGAGAGCTGAATAAGTCTGTGTCTCTGGCTGAATAAAAAATATAAAACAACAACAAAAAACCCAACACTGATTTATGGCCCTTGAAATGAGTGCATATAAAGAAGGATGAAATTATATTAGCTTGTTATATTCTTTCAATGTTTCTTACCTAATTCTGTTGAGATGAGATGATCTGGATTTGGAATGTTTCTAGGGAGAGGTAAGACAGCAGTCTGCCTAACACTTCAAATCAGAGTAATTCAATGTGGGAGTTAGCAATTGTGGTTGTAAGGATTGCAGAAACGAGAGTTCAGGAACAAGAAAGACCTGGAAGGATGCTAGTTCACTCCCTGTTTAACAGCTGAGAGTGCTTCTGCTCAGCACTGTAAAGGGAGATGGCCAATGTACACAACTGCATAGTGGTAACTGCAGTTGCAGCCTAGGTTTTATTAACCCCCTCCAAAGTCTCACTGTTACCATGACGTCTCTACAAGAGAAAACCCAGCAGATTACAGAGTATCAACTATTCACAAACAGTGATGCTCAGAGAAACTGGTAGGTCTAGACCAGTGCTGGGTTAGCTTATGCCATGTTATATGCAGCTTAGTAGGATCAAGCTATCACTCACATGCCTCTTTCTTCGCCAGGTCCATTGTAATAATATGTTTGCTAAGGGTGTGAAGATCTTTAAGGAGGTCCAGTGCTACTTCCGCTCTGAAGCCAATGAATGGGAGCCTAATGCAGTCTCCTTCCCTCTTGTCCTGGATGACGTCAACCCCAGTGCTCGGTTTGTCACCGTGCCTCTCCACCACCGAATGGCCAGTGCCATCAAATGTCAATACCACTTTGCTGACACCTGGATGATGTTCAGTGAGATCACCTTCCAATCAGGTAGGAAGCCTGGGGAGCAAGGTGAAGAAGGAAGAAGACAAGCATCCAGGCTGCTCACTGATAGGTCTCTGAGAGAACTCGGGGTTTTACAGGTGGCATCTTATTAGCAGACAGAAAAAAATCCTTTGTGTATTTTGAATTTTAATTAGGGTGAAAATGGAAGCAAATAGCATATTTGCTTGATTTCTGTACACATTTGTCTAGAAGACACTTCTATTCTCTGTTATTTCTATAGTCTGCAATTTATAGCTACAAGGTTATTGTATTCAAGTCCAACTTTTACGTTTGTCAGTAATTCTTCACAGGTAGTGCTACTTGCTTTATATTGAACCTCATGGGGTGAAATACTAAATTCTCTTACTTTTAGTGATACTTAGGTTGATTTTTGCAGGTGCTTGTCTCTTTATGGGTTTTTCCTCTGTTGTTAATCCTTGCCTAAATAATACAGTTCATTAAGATTTGCTAAATCACAATTTTTGAATTTTTTAAATTTGAATTTCCTCATGACACACACTTTACATTTGAAGAGCAGGGTACATGACTAATTTTCTTCCTTAATCATCAATTTTCGGAGTAATTAATTGATAATCCTGATAACCCTCAATAGTGTCTAATGAGTTTTTCCTTTCACCCTTGTTTTTAGTATTGCTCTATACTCATTCTTTTAAGTAAATTCAGTGTTTAATTAATTACAATATTTTTTTCTTGATTCTTGAACTGTCCTATTTAACCATAGCTTGTACCTGTAAGCTATGTTCCTTAGATCTGACTCTATGAGATTTTGGTAATATTTTTCCTGTCTAAAAGAACAAGATGTACCAAGCACATTTTGGACATTTACTGGCCAAGATGTGGAATCAACCACTTCCACAAGAAATCTTGATTTTTTTTTTTTTACAGAATTATCATTAGAGATTATTAAACCATGAGTTATGCAATAAGAGTAATCACTGCTCTTTGGTGATTATTTCTTGGATTTTTTTTCAATGGAAAAAAATAAGGACAAATGTACATTTAAAAATCATAATTTCACATTGCTACTTCTGAGTCAAATAGAAAATAATAAGGTTTTTACTTAAACTTGATTTCAAATCTGATTCTATTTCTATTTATCCTAAGCATCATTTTCCTTTTTTTAAATTAAGTTTTTTATTGTTTAAATACTTACAGAGGGGTTACAGTTACATGAGGAAGGTAATGAGTACATTTCTTATCCAGCATTGTTGCCTCCTCCTTTGTTTTTCCCCTACCATCCCTTCCTTCCCACCTCCTCAGCTACCCCCTCACCCTATCCCCCACCTCCCCCCACCTAAATTGTAAAGTTTGTTTTTCAACATAGCATCTTGTACATCTCATTGTTGCAATGGGTCAATCTGTATCTCTATTTAAACAATTTGTTTTTTCCCTTATCCTCCACAAATTAGAGCAATATCAAATAGAATGAAAACAGGGGTTATACTGTGGGGGAGGAACATACAAAGCAACAAAAAAATCACATGGTACCTTATAAATACATTCGAAACAATAGGAAAGAAGAAAAAAAACCACTTGTGTCCCTATCTTGGGGTGAATTTTGCTTAACATCATCTTATCTGACCTTTTCTGCTTGTCTCAGACATATATTTATGGAGCACAGTGTGATGTTTTAATAAATGTATACTTTGTATAACTATCAAACCAAAGACCAGATATAGTGGTTCAGGCCTGTAATCCTCATTTCTTGGGAGGAGATCAGAGGAAAGCCATTTGAGGCTAGCCTGGAGAAAGAAAAAAAGCTTGGGAGATTTCATCCCACTTGAAAAGGCAATTAGGAGGATCACAGTTCAGGCATAATGTGAGATCCTATTTGGAAAATAATTACAAAAGGGGTGACCGAACGGCTCAACTATTAAGAGTACTTGCCTAGCAAGTGAGAGGCTCTGAGATCAAACCCCAGAACCACCAAAGTAAAACTTAATCTAAGATATTTTCACTTTTAAAAAAGATGTCAGAGCTAGGTATGGGTTGCTCATGCCTATAATTCTAGCTTTTTGAGAGGCTGGGAATGCAAGTATCACAGTTTGAAGCCAGTCCAGGAAGAAAAGTCCCAGAGACCATTTCGGTCCATAAAAGGAAGTTGGGCTTTGTGATGGGAAAACTTAGACACAGACAGATTGTGCTCCAGGTACAGATTGTGATCCTTATTCTAACAAAACAAAACAAAACTGAGCAACCTTCCCCATCCCTCCCCCTCACCCCCAGAACTAGAGCAAAGCTCAGCAGCTTACTAAGCACCAGTTTAGTAAGGCCCTGAGTTCAAAGTCCAGTACAATTTACAAAAAGTGAGACAGACAGACAGAAAGAGAGAGGGGGGATAGGGAGGGAGAGAGGAGGAAGGTAGGAAGGAAGGAAGGAAGGAAGGAAGCAAGGAAGGAAGGAAGGAAGGAAGGAAGGAAGGAAGGAAGGAAGGAAGGAGAGGTGGGAGGAAGGAAGGTAGGAGGGGTGGGAGGAAGGAGGGAGGGAAGGAGAAGAAAAAAAGGCTATTAGCACATTGATTTCTTCTTCATCAGGAACACCATCAGATACACCATCACCTGTTCTAACCCCAGTTCTAACTTGCTTTTGTTCTGCCACAGATGCAGCCATGTATAACAACTCTGGAGCTCTGCCCACCTCCCCCATGGCACCCACAACCTATGGTATGTGTGATTCCTAATCATAAAACTTAAGTGGGTGCATGTTCCAGAGAATAAAGCAGGTTGGAGACTGGCAAAGGCCTTCCTCTCTGGGTGAGGGGTTTGATTACAGGTGGCTTTGGATAAAAGGAATCCCTGGAAAGGCAGAACAGCCCACCTGCAAAGTTAGAAGTGCAACTTGTAACTTTGAATCAAGAGTGTGCCAATTGCTACCTGAGTGATCTAGAAGCTTTGGGCAGAAATAGGGCAAGGGCCATTTCTATGTGAGATCCATCATGGAGATCTTCATGAATGAGCGGATGGTTCTGAAACGAAATGCTGGAGATTAAACTCTAACTGGAGATTAATATGTAAAATGAATTCTTTGCTTCTGAGAGTCAGCCTGCAATCTGAGAGACAGATACAACCGAGTATCTGCAAAGAGGCTTTTCAGCAACCTGGGCCTGTCTCAAAAAGTGAGGAGAGAGTACAATTCATTTCTTACTGGCATTTCATGGGTGTCATTAGGAGCCTGTAGATTCAAGCGTTGGTGATTTGGGAACAAAATTTAAAAACAAAAAAGATCTTCATTATCCTATCTGGGCCATGGAGAATGTTGCAGGATGTAAGAGAAAATTAACAAAATAGTAGCAAGGTCAAGAAGCAGAAATTCAAAGGTGGCATCTTCTGGAGTTATCCTCTGGAAACAGTTTATGTACATGCCCAAGTCCAGTCCTTCATCCTTCATGCTTTTATTCATCCTGTGATTATATCTTCTCTCTTTTCTTGGTCATAGATCCAATGCTTAAAGTTGATGACAGCAATACTAGGATCTTGATTGGCTGCTTGGTGGCTATCATCTTCATCCTCCTGGCTATCATTGTCATCATCCTCTGGAGACAATTTTGGCAGAAAATGCTAGAGAAGGTGAGGAGGTGCTGGACAGGAAAAGGACAGGAAGTTGTGTTTCTGCCATGAAGAAATGAAGGAGTTTTCTAAGCTTCTTCCACACACAGGCAGACTACATCATTGTCACCTGCAGTGTTTTGGAGGGTTAGCAGAAATAAATGGAGTGAAAGGACTGGGTTTCAAAAGGGAAGGAAATAATGTCCCTTTGTGCTATGATGTCCTTCTACCAATCTTCTCTTCCAGGCTTCCCGCAGGATGTTGGATGATGAAATGACAGTCAGCCTTTCCCTACCAAGCGAGTCCAGTATGTTCAACAATAACCGCTCCTCATCACCAAGTGAACAGGAGTCCAACTCAACTTATGATCGCATCTTTCCCCTTCGCCCTGACTACCAGGAGCCATCCAGGCTGATAAGGAAGCTCCCAGAATTTGCGCCAGGGGAGGACGATCCAGGTGAGATCACACAGTGGGCTGGGATTTGAGGAAGAAGCCACGACACAGCATTTGGTAAGGTTAGTCAGGAAAGTCATTAATGGTCATGTATCAGGAGAAAAAAGAGAAACAAAGTCAAAGGTTGCCCTATGTACCTAGAATCCTAGCTGTCCAAGAGGTAGAGGATTATAAATTCCAGTTCTGCCTAAGCAAAGTTATTGAGAACTTATTTCAAAAACAAACTAAAACAACAGCAAAAAAAAAAAAAAATACCAAGCTATGCACCAGTTGCTCATGCCTGTAATCCTAGCTACTCAGGAGGCTGAGATCTGAGGATCACAGATCAAAGCCAGCCAGGCAGGAAAGTCCATGAGACTCTTATCTCCAATAAACTACTCAGAAAAAAACAAGTGGTGCTGTGGTGCATTTCTAGAGAAAGCAACACTTTTCTTCAAGTGAGGATATCATGAGGACATGTTCTAGACCTTCTCTCAGATTGTCTTTCTTAACAATGTATCCAAAGATGCCCCAGTGGAAAACACTCATTGCCTGTATCTTCCCAGGCTGCAGTGGTATTGTGAAGCCAGTTCAGCCCAGCGGATCTGATGGAGTGCCTCACTATGCAGAGGCTGATATAGTGAATCTCCAGGGAGTCACAGGAGGTAATACCTACTCAGTGCCTGCTGTCACCATGGATCTTCTCTCGGGAAAAGATGTGGCCGTGGAAGAGTTCCCCCGGAAGCTTTTGACGTTCAAGGAGAAGCTGGGAGAAGGCCAGTTTGGGGAGGTGAGTTTGATCCTTTGAGTGAGACCTTCCGGTCTCTCCCAGCTTGAAGGAAGCCAGTGAGTGGGTAAAAATGATTAGCAGTACCAAAAATCTCTTCCAGAAGTGAATTCACAAGTGACTTGCCTCCACTTGTCTTTTTTTTTTATTTGCAGTGGCCTTTGCATAGCTAGTATTAGATCAATCTCACATTTTTCAAGTAGCTGCAGAGTTCTAGAGACCTGCTTTCTAAACAAGGCTTAAGTCAGACATTCCACAGAACTTGTAGTGTTTTCAAAAAGTGTTTAGAGTATGTTGTTGAGGGTGGGGCTGACAGATGTGATCATCTTTCACGAATTGTCCAGACGCAATATACTGCTTGAATCATTTGTTCTTTTCTTCCTTGTAAGGGGAATTATGTGTAACAAAACACAAACTCACCCTCCCTTTGGCCCCAGAACTTGTCCCTAACTTGTCGCCAGCTAAGGAGGAGTCCTCAACTCCCCTCAGAGGGGAACATGAAATTATTACTTCTTTTAAAAAAATGAAGATTTATCAGTCATCATAGAATTCAGAGCCATGGTTTAAGGTCTGATTTTAAATGAATTACAGGAGCTTTTCGATGCTTCTGTCTAAATCTCAACTATAAGACTTGCTTTTGTAAAAGTATGTTACTGGTTTCTGGGTGGATCAAACACTCGCCTCCCAGAAAGCAGATCTGGTAAACCCTACACCAACTGGTTACCTGGGGAGCTGTTTTATGTGATCTAATAACTGAACTTTTTCCAAGTTTCCAGCATTTGTATTGGATGATATTTTAGAGTGAGGCTATGCTTAATACAATACTTGGATATTGATGTATCCATTTCTTTACCTAATATTAAACAGTCAATCTGTATTTCTTTATACGGCAATAACATGCTATTAGGTAGATACTTTACCATTGCTTTTAGTTCAATCCATTATTTCAGCCAAAGATATGTTACACATATCTTCTTATTGGCCTTTTGATTATTATGCCTGAATGGTAAGAATTCCAGGCAATGCCCAGCAAATGGACTGAGCCACCTTCAGAAGGATGATGATGCTGAGACTCCATGACTTTTGTCTAGGTTCATCTCTGTGAAGTGGAGGGAATGGAAAAATTCAAAGACAAAGAGTTTGCCCTAGATGTCAGTGCCAACCAGCCTGTCCTGGTGGCTGTGAAAATGCTCCGAGCAGATGCCAACAAGAATGCCAGGTCTGCATTTAAAATATTTCCTTTACTTCATTCATTCCTGGAAATTTCTGAGCATCTTATTTTTCTTTGGATTTGGGAAAGTCTGTGTGCTGTCTTGCCCTTGCTCTTGCTATGGTTTATTTCTCGGATGGAGCCAGAATTCTTTTTCTCCATCTCTCTCAAACACCAATGTGCATTTCTATCACATTTGCCACGTACTTCCTTCCTAACTCCCTCTGTAGACGCACTATACTTCCCAACACACACAGCAATCTGGATATGGACTTCTTCAGTCATTCCACAAACATATGCTTCAATGTCATTACCTCCTGTTCTAATGACTTTTTTCACATCACATGCATATCCTTTGCCAATCCTTTTCTGCTCTCCTTTTTTCGCCTCTCTACTTACCCATCCTTTTTTTTCTCTTTTATGATCCTTTTCTTCTATGTTCAGCAACCCCCAAAATGAGAAGCTACCTCTATTTGGAAAAATTACCATGGACCTCAAAGCAAAATGATCCAGTCTTTTAGCAGTTTTCCAAACTAGGTAATAATCTCTTGGATCCTTTACTACATAAATTGCAAGTTTCCAGCTACACTCCGTTATCTGACAACCTTTCCATTACAGTAAGGGTGAGTTAATCCTCACCCAGAGAGGCATGCTGATTAAAAACTGGTTGTTTGTGTCCCTGAGAAACCTGCACATCTGGATAACATATGCATCTTCCCATTTGTGTTGTTTTTATTTGTCTCACTGATAATTCATAATGAGAGTAACTAATTGTTCTTATTCCCCCAATTATTATTAATTCCCAGGATGGCAATAGGTTTCATTAAATGTCTTCCAATCAACAGGATATAAAAGGAAGAAGAGAGAAAGTCAAGGGAATGGAGCTGTGGAGGTTTTCACATTTTAATTGAGAATTTTAGTCTGAATGAATGATTAGGATGTTCTCTGGGTCTTGTAGAGACATGTTCTCTTTGTATTTATATTAGCAGAATATTGGAAACAGAGCAAGGAGAAAAACATGCAGAGGATACAGAAAGTCTTTATCTAGTGTTTTGTTTAGTGAGATTTGCTGGACTCCACCTATGCCCAGCCTGTTTTGCAGTTATGGATGGTAAAGGTTTAAGCCCTCCAATGCCACTGAAGTTAGTAGAAAAACACAGAAGAGGAGATGTTGAATAATAAGGACTCCACTGTCATAGTAGGACTTCCAGTGCAGGGCTCCTATAAAACTGCAGGAGACTTATAACTAACATATTCCAGTAATTTGAGCCAATGATTTAACACAAGCATCACTACTCTGTGACTGAAAGGCTACCATCACTCTAGCAAGCAACTTGCATTGGCTAAATGAATCATTTTGAAATAGCCTTGCTTTACAACAATAGCCTTTAAACAGCTCTTCTTAAATAAGCCACTAAATTTTGTTGTGATTAATTTCTGGTTCTCACTATATACATATACATATACATATTATATTATAATATTATGTAATATAATGTTTTATAATTAATATTATAATATGTGTATGATATATACATATATAAACAAACATATTCATATTCATACATATACATATATATACACACAGACATATCTATTATGTAAGCATACACATATCCCCAGCCAGTAAAGTAGTAGAAAATAAAGAATTACCAGAGCATGTTTATCTACCTTGCCAAAAGACTCATTATTTTATTAATAGCATGATTCTGTGGCTTTTAAAAAGATGCTAAACACCCTCACTTATTTAAGACCGCATCCTCAGTGAAGTTTCATTTTGCCCCTGCGTTTTAAGCAACACGTATTTGATTCTGCCAATATTAAGTGCATTCTATATGGCAGGTATGTTAAATACTGGGGATGCAAATGTGAGAATGGCTGTTCTCAAGAATATATCATATTAAATAAGGGTTCATCACACCCCAGGAGGAGTCAGCTAAGACTGATGTGGGTACCAGTTTTTCTGTCCTTTCTAAGGTTACCCAAGCGAAAGGAAGCCTTGGTGTAATGGATAGGAATAGACATTCGTGGTGTACACTTTCTCTCTTCGGACTCTGGAAACCTCTGGCTTTATCTATATCTGTGTCCTCCAAAGGAATGATTTTCTTAAGGAGATAAAAATCATGTCCCGGCTCAAGGACCCAAACATCATCCGTCTCTTAGCCGTGTGCATCACCGATGACCCTCTCTGCATGATCACAGAGTACATGGAAAATGGAGACCTCAATCAGTTTCTTTCCCGCCATGAGCCTTCCACCTCTTGCTCTAGCAATGTGGCCACTGTCAGGTAAATCAGCCAGGTTTTGTTTCTTTCCTGTGCTCATGAGAGTAACCTGGGATCTGAGCATTTAAATCGAGGAACCTTGCAGTTCCTCCTTGCTTTGGAGGAACTAGAAGGGATACATTAAGGACAGATATGTTAAGGTTTCAACAGCTTTATGATGTGTACTCTTCATGGCTCTCTGTTTCCTTCTTCTTTTTTTTCCTCCTGTGTGTTTTCTCAGCTATGCTAACCTGAAGTTTATGGCTACCCAGATTGCCTCTGGCATGAAGTACCTTTCTTCTCTTAATTTCGTCCATCGAGATCTGGCCACACGAAACTGCCTCGTGGGTAAGAACTACACCATCAAGATAGCTGATTTTGGAATGAGCAGAAACCTCTATAGTGGTGACTATTACCGGATCCAGGGCCGCGCGGTGCTCCCTATACGCTGGATGTCGTGGGAGAGCATCCTGCTGGTGAGTTCAGGTCATTCATAAGCTCAGTCCTAGCAATGGAAGTGCATGTAGGGAGCCACAAAAAGCAGGTGGGAACAAACTCAAAGTAGGAGGAAAACTCCATACACCTTGACATTTTCTCTGGTTTAAGATGATCTTTATATACTTATTATTATTTACTATGTATACTATTATATATAAGTATATTATATAGACTTATTATTATTATTATTTATTACTACCTACCACTTGTGTATTTCTGCTGAAAATTTACCAACTCCATTACAGAAATATTAGGGAAAAAACACTAAAAGTTACGATCAGGGATTTAGTATAATTTTTTCTCTACTCTTTCCACCAACTGAACAGTTGTTTAGTTAATTTAGAACATTAAAAATGCTATTGTTCAAAGAAATGTTAATCACCTATAATATTTTTCTTTCATATTAATTTTATAACCATTTTTCTCATTATTTAAGCTGATCGTAATGCATTTTAAAGACTTTTGCCATTCACGTTTTCATTTCATTATTTGAGTTATGGCTTGGTAATGTAATTCTTGGTATTCTGCATCATGGATAAGTAATATTTTTCAAAATGTCTCCCAGGGAGTATGTTTTCTGACTGACTTTTTATTGCTAATTTTGCAACTATTTAGCTAATTTAAGAGATTAGTAGTACATAAATTTTTACTTCCTCCAGTGCTGTACTCTTTTGCCCTTTATAATATTACAGAGAAAATTCTGAAGAAAACTCATTTTTTTATTTATAGGCAATCTGCTTATATCTAGTTCATATGCTGAGAGAATTCATAAACTCATTTTGAAATAAAAATGTATAGTGATCTCTTCTCTCATCAGGATAAGCACTATGTTTTCATATTTTTCCTTTGAGAATCGTATGCATGTATTTCTGTATGAAATGTATATTACATAATTACATTAATTGCATACAAATTGTTACATATCGTTATCTTTTACTTAACATTTTGCTATTGCTGTCATTAAATATTCTTTGAAAACATTATTTTAATGGCCACATACTATTCCATGGTGTGTTGTATCCTGTAAACTAATAATGACTCTATAACTTAATATAAATATACTTGTAGACTTTCCAATTTCCTATTAGTAAGAACAATTTATGGCATAAACCAGTTAAAAAAATATGACCCAGGCAAAGTGGCTAATGCCTGTAATCTCAGCAAGTAAAAGGTAGAAATCAGAAGGATAATAAGAATATTGGTGCAGGCAAAAATTTGGCTAATAAAACCTTAGCTAATGAAACAATACCCAAACAAAACAATAGTAACAATCTGGGTATGATAGCATGCCTCTGTCATTCCAACTGTGCAGGAATTGTAAGGATCATTAGACAAAATTAGTTCCAAACTCTATCTGAGAAATAACTAAAGCAGAAGAAGCTGGCTTTCTGGCTCAAGTGGTAGAGTGCCTGCCTAGAAAATGTGAGGCTCTGAGTTCAAACCTCAGTACTGCTCCCCAGTTTTTTCAATTGTCTTCTTTTATCACTACATGTGAACTGCTATGTTTTATCAGTTTCTAATGGAAGTAAGCATTGCTCTACTCTATCTAAAGATTTTATGTAGGGTTGGGAAGTTGGCTCAGTGGTAGAGCGCTTGCCTTGCATGCTTGAGGCCCTGGGTTCGATTTCTCAGCACCACATAAGCAAAAAGAAAAAAGCAGGAAGTGGCGCTGTAGCTCAAGTGGTAGAGCGCTAGCCTTGAGCTGAAGAGCTGAGGGACAGTGCCCAGGCCGAGTTCAGGCCCCACGACCGGACCCCCCAAAAAAATATTAAAAAGAAAAGATTTTATGTAGTGTTCAAATGACATACCAGGGTATACTCAATGCATATCCTACAAAATCAAGAAAATTGAGGGGAAAGTTGGGGTTGGGAGTGATGGGGGAGAATGATTACAGGGTTGTCAATCAATCAATCAAGTTGTTAACTGCTTGTTGAATGGCAACTCCGTTACATAACAATATACTTAAATGATATTTGATTAGCTTTGGGCTTTAATTATAAAACCAGTATATCAAATATATCCTTCAGAGGGCTTTAGATCCCTTAAGATAATGGATGGGTGAATAGGAAACACCACTGGAAGTAGGCTACTTGTGTTGGTAGATGGGAAATTAAAATGTCAGTGTTTTGCAAGAGTTCTTGGAAGGGAAGATTTGTTCTCGGAAATGCAGAAAAGCCAATTTAAAAGAATTAGCAACTGAGACATATATTTTTATTTTTCATATTCTATTCAAGCACTATGTTTGACCAACAGTATCTATCACTAAATTTTTTAATTTTAATTATAGTGCAAGTGACATTGTATTGTATTAAAATGAAAAATACAATAACCCAAATATATAGCAAGTTCATTCCATCAACTAGTGCATAATGATTAAAAAAGATATATTAGACTAAAATTCTGATAAACTTATTTCAAATCCCACTTTTTTTTATTACTGGTCTCATTAAGCATGGTAATTTAATAAAACTTTGTGTCATTTTTCTGACTTAAAAATTAATATCCTCTACTAGTAGCTTCATTGTCTGTACGAATAGAAAATGTGTAAACATTTAAGGAATCTTAATGACATCTGAATCTTGTTGCTGTCATTTGGTAACATCTATTTTTCAATACTGATTATTACTGAACAGGGAAATGAGAGTCTTGGATTCATGCAGGGCCTCCAACCAGATTCCTCGCCAGACCAATTACTCTAACATAATGACAGTCAACTTCCTGTTCCAATTTTGGCTTTCCACGAGACATTTGCTCAAAGCTTACCCTAAAGCTTAGAAGGTGACCCTCTGACACTCAGTTGAAGAGTCAGATGATTGATGGCTGTCATCCTTTCAGTTTTTGAACCTCATGTCCAAGCAAAGGAAAATGGAGCTGAGATTATGAAAAGAATGGCCTGCTTTTTGATACCTTCATGATTGCCTTGGCACTTTCAGCATTCCTTCCTCTTGGGAAGAGAAGAGGGAATAACTAAATATGAAAATATAACCTGCTCTCATTAGGGCATGAGTTGTTCTGATTCTCCTCCCCCACTTCTTTTTTCTTGAAACAGGGCAAATTCACTACAGCAAGTGATGTGTGGGCCTTTGGGGTGACTCTGTGGGAGACGTTCACCTTTTGCCAGGAGCAGCCTTATTCCCAGCTGTCAGATGAACAGGTTATTGAGAATACTGGAGAGTTTTTCCGAGACCAGGGGAGGCAGGTAAGAAATAAGTGGTCTGGAAGGAGGAAGAAAGGAATGTCCTGATTTAACAAGGTAGGCCTGAGCTATCTGGATGATTATCCAGATAATATAAAAGACATTCTCCAGGCAGCTCTGCTGTATCTATTGCTCATCCTCCTGATTCTTGTAAATTGATTCACAAAGGTTCATGTTAGATTTCTGTCACAAAGGTAGCAGAAAAGAATGTCCTACCTCTTCAATCAATACTTTGATCTATGTCTTGATTTATATTATCTGGTTTGTCTTTCTGGTTGAAAAAAAAGTAAGAGTAAAAGGGACTTATTGGTATTTATTCAAATATATTTTAGTGTAAGAAATGGCTGTGGTTTGGATGGACTTGCCAAGTTTCTAGACTTGGACATCCAAAATGGACTGATGTAACCTGGACTTTACCTGGAAGGACTTTACCTTATTGGGCCCAACTATTGATACTTTTCATGACTTAGGGAAAGCTGGGTCCTCAAGCTTAGAGAAGACAGCAGAGATGACCTGGGAATCAGCTGAGTATTATCTTAGTATAGAAATAGTATCCAGCAATTTCAGAGTTCGAGGCTAGAATTCATGCCTAAACCCATCAATATTGGTGTATACTGTAAGCAGAAATTGAATTTTTTTTGAGGGGGCCAAAACTGGAAAGAAGCACAGAGAACTTTATGGTTAAGAGCTACAAGAGCACACTTTCTGCATCTCAGTTTCTGAGTCTGGCTAAGATTGATTCAGGAAGCTGAAGCTTCTATCTCAGTTATGTTTGGCTCAGCCAGGACACAACTTCACATAAGTGGACCATAAATGGAAGATTTGAGCTCCTTTTGCTTCAGTTCTGTTCTTACATAAAGATAGAGGTTTCTAAAGGATCCATAAGGAAACCTTGTTCCAGAGAATTGGAGTGAACAAAGGGAAAGCGAAAGGGGCTGGTATACAGGCTAAAACCCTTAATGAGTAGGACCAATAGATATCACATCCATTTCAGTTATTGAGATCAAGAAAGTAAAGTGGGTGCAAATCGAGCTGTGTTGCAAGCACTTTTCCTTTTTCCCCCCATTTTATTAAGACATATTTTCTCTCTTTCTCTTTTCCTTTCCTTCCCCCTCAAAGACTTACCTCCCTCAACCAGATATTTGCCCTGACTCTGTGTATAAGTTGATGCTTAGCTGCTGGAGGAGAGACACCAAGCATCGCCCCTCCTTTCAAGAAATTCACCTTCTGCTCCTTCAACACGGGGATGAATGATGCTGTCAATGCCTGCCAGCGTTCTGAGGGATGAGGTCTTTCCGCAAGATCTACCACTCACCTGCACCTAAGCCACTCTATCTGGACATGCAATGGACCTGAGAGATAGAGGCTTGTTCACTTAGCCTCTCTCTCGTCCCTTCTCCTACTACACTCCCCCCACTCCCTACCACTGACTCACATGTACCTTTTTTATATATGAAAGAATGAAAAAAGGAAAAAAAGTAGCCTAGGACAGATAAAATCTAGTGAAGAAGTCTTACTCGATATACCAAGTGTTAAATGACAAAGGCTAGAAAATTCAGATAATTTATAAAAGTGATGATTATGTTTGTAACTGTGTGGATTCTACGAGTATTTTTCAATGCAAACCTTTTATAAAATATCTTCAGAAAGAAAAAAACTTGAAGAATACTAATGTCCTGAGAAACATGATATTAGATTTAGAGTGAATACTTGGTCGCGATGGTGAATGTGAACTCTTGGTGTGCAGCAACTAATCCCAAAAGGCTTTCTGGTTTGGCCTCTGGACATGGCCCATTGTCTGATTTCCCTCTCCTATCAAAGTGGATGGCACATTCTTGAAAAGCCCTAAATTCTTGAAATGAGTATGTCCTTCATTCATACCTGGATTGAAGACTTCAAAAGAAACAATGAATGATATGGGTAGGAATGGTGCCTGCTGCAAACTGTATGCAGGGCAATTTGTCTTTTTAAGTACTTCCTGCATGGAAGGACTCTTGAATATATATTAGTTATAGGAAAGGAGGTCTATGGAGGACAGGTGATGGTATTCACTTCATTTGTGAAGGTCTTCTTGCTTGTCTTGTTCAGATGTTTTTATGTGCATGTTGTTATGACAGCCTTATTTTTTAAAAAAGTCTGATGTTTTGCTACCCTAATGGTAGACTCTGGTTCATCTTGATTTCTCTTAATGGGGCTGGATTTCTCAGGCACAAATACCTGAAGATCCATAAGCATAGATAGTAGTAGATTTGTTCTGAGCATCCCCTCCCCCCCAAAAAAATAGGACCAATAAAGGGAAATAAACGAATAAAAAGACCAAAAAGGAAATTGGAGGGAGACTGATTCCTACTCCTTATTAAAGAAGACATCACCAGAGTCAGGACTGGATGGGCTGTTCCAGAGGTGGAGCTCTATTGTCATCGAAAAAACTTCAGGCTCAAGCTAAAAAACTCTGCAAGAAAGATGGAGGTTTTCAAACATCAGATAGGTTATGTATGAGACTATATTTAATGTGGTTTTAGCCTCAAGAGCCCTTATATCCAGAGAGGAACAGAATGACCAATCGTTGGTAGTGCTTAGTGTATTTGATCTTGCCAGCAAAGTGATGTGATTGGAAGAGAAATGCCAGGCTTTGGTGGCAAAATTCATGGAAAACTGATACACTCCCAAATAGGAGTCTCCTTAGAGAAGATTCTAAGTTTCCACAATGGTAAGGGAAACGTTAATTCCCATTGAGGAAAACCAAGAAAAGATTACAGAGTAAGTGTCCCAAGCTGAGGAGAAACAGTCTTCACCCTCAGGTCTGCTTCTGTTGCCCCCTGAGTCCATCTTCCCCACAGTCTCTCAGAAATATGAATGTTGGTCTGTTTAGCCTTGAGTATCATTCAAGGCTATAACCCAAGCATACATCATTTTCTGACCCTAGAAAATGGCCTTTTGCCATGGTTATGCTATGGTTTTGGGCTTTATTCCTTCTTAAGATTAACTTTGGAAAGAGCATTGATTTGAGAGATAGGTAAACATTAATTTGAGAACTTTTATTCCCTTTCTCCCTCAAACCTGCCATGTTGGGCAGGTTTCTTTGTCTGACTTTTCCTTCATCATCTATACAATAAGGGAATTGAATTAGATGGTCTTGAAGTCTCTTCTAGTTCTGATATGTTTAATGGTTTGGAAATAACTGGATCTATAATTGTTGTGGATGCAGTACACGTCCTGCTCTGAAAATTGTGCTCAGTAAAAGAGATTATGAGGTGAGTCACTGTATTAAAAGCAATAGTAACACCTGCCCTATTCTACACTGCTGCCAGGGAGCTTCCCCATACATTATTTCATTTGATATCTGCAATGCCAGACATAGTTTTTGTTTTATAAATAAGATTTGCCATACTCTGATTTCTCAGTGTTAACTTTCCTAGAAGAAATTGAAGTCAAGAACTGCAAACTACTCTAGAACATGCCATGACTTTATGTAGTAGTAGTAGTAGTAGTAGTAATAATAATAATAATAATAATAATTATAGCACCTCTTTTTTTGTTGTGTCACACTTTTCCACTTAGTACTTTTTAGGAGTCTACCCCAATTCACTGTATTCTATGATCTATGTATTTAAAATGGAATTTGAATATCTGAATTTCTCTTGTGTCATAAAAGCAAATGCTTCCAGATGGTTGCCAAATACATATTTCCACATACAGTTACTTATTTTCTGAGTGAAAAAGGCTCTATCTTTCAACACTAAGACCTCTATTAGTCATACGTTTAACTTCTAACCTACTTACATCCGTACATCCGTAGAGTTTAACAGTGCAAACCTGGTGACCCAAAGACTAAGTGGTATGTAGAATTTTAAGATAATTCAAACTTAGATTACAAGAATGAAGCTGAGGCTTGTTTGGAAAAGAAACTACGAAAAAAATTGTGAGAAGCTATAGGTCTTTATAATCCTTGAGTTTAGTTATCTTCTTCTTGACATATACGAACCATTATGTTAAGTCTGTGATTTTAGATTGTGAGATCTAAATTTATACTTTTGTTAGTTAATGTGTTGATCGCTGGGTCCAGATCTTCACCTGCTTTCCAGACACCTGTAATTCAGTTACATGCATGACTTGGAGTGAAAAGAAATGCCCAAGGGGAACATACCTTTCTAAAACTGTAGAAAGACCACTTGTGAGTGTTTAAGACAGTACAGTGAAGAGAGTTGTATGCAAGTTCAATTTTTTAAAGAAGTGTCTATATGAATGTGCATAGGATTGGATGGGGAGGATGAGGGGCTGGTAAGAGGGTTCTATGAGGAAGGGCAAGGAGAGGGCCGAAGATTCATGGAGGGGCAGTTATGGAAGGGGCTGCTGATTGCTGATGGACTGTTGTCTGAAGCATGAAAGAAAGTCTCTGAAAAGAGAGCTGAGAAAGAGTAGAAAAATATAAGAGAGTTGAAGATTGAAGTGTGGATCTTAAAAGAATTCTGGGCTAGAGAGATCATAAAGGTATTTGTTAAAAATGGAAAGTCAGATACCTTATGGGAAATGCAAGGGACGTTCTGTTGTTTCACATTTTTAAGAAAGGGGATGTCTTCTGTGGGTATAAAAACATAGAACCATATAACCTTTTAATTTCAGAAAAATTGGTTGAGGGAAGCAATTGGAGCCCCTTTGTGCTATAGACCATTTTGGGTGCATGTAAGAAGAAAGTAATTTTTCCCAGAGTTGAGCTCTTAAAATGATTTTTTGGGGGGCTCTGGTCGTGGGGCCTGAACTCTGGGCCTGAGCGCTGTCCCTAAGCTCTTCAGCTCAAGGCTAGCGCTCTACCACTTGAGCCACAGCGCCACTTCCAGCTTTTTTCTTTTTGCTTATGTGTTGCTGAGGAATCGAGCCCAGGGCCTCATGCATGCAAGGCAAGTGCTCTACCACTGAGCCACCTTCCCAGCCCCTAAAATGATTTTTTTTTGTATGTGAAAACTGAGAGGGAGTTTATGTTAGCTCCTGAGTCTCTGTTTTCTTTCCTCTTTCTTTTGTTAATAAAATTTATTTCCCAAGTGCATCATTGCTAGATCTAGAATGGCCATAGGCAAATGTGAAAATGGTAGAAAAAATTAAACAAGTCTGATATCTATCCAGAGAGATGTGCCATGTTGTAAACATGTGTTTGTCTAGTCTCATTCAGGCATCCCACAAAAAAGTCATGATGTGGGGCTAGGCCATGTGTTTTAGGTAAAGGAGAACAGAAGGAGGGGCGGATCTGAATTAGGGGAAAGGAGGAAGATGTTCCCAGGAAATATTCTGAAACAGAACAGCATCTGTTTTGCCCCAAACTAAAAAAAATGAAGAGAATTACAGTATATGACTATTAAGACTTTGATCCTAAGTTGAATTCATAGATCTGGAATTTACCAACTTAGTCCTTTCCTCTCTGTGAGATCTTTGCCCTGTGGCAATGTGTGGTAGGTCCCTTGATGTCTGTGGTAGATGCAGATCCTGATGTTCTTTGGAAATCCTTTTGAAGTGACATTTTGCATTCTCATAGAAACAGATGAATATCTTTGCCACTGAGAAGATTACTTTGAGTGCTAGATTAAGAGGGAAAGAGATTGCTTATGGTGGTTTGATGTCTACCATTTTGTGTTGTCTGCTGCAACTGGTTGTGTTACTTGGTGATAGAAGACTGGTTAGTAGTTTTCTAGTTGATGTTTCCTTTATGAAAACTAGTTAATTTGAATTTAAGACTTCCAAGACTTCTTTTGCTTTTTAAAAAGAACAGAGTGGCATTACACTAAGTCTAGTTTTCCTCCATTAATGATATTGTACATAGTCCATTTTCTTTTTTAAAGAATGTGTGTTTGTCCTGGAACTTGAACTCAGAGCCTGAGCACTGTTCCTAAGCGTTTTTGCTCATTATTAGCACTCTACCACTTGTCACAGCTCCACATCTGGCTTTTTGGTGGTGAATTGGAGGTAAGAATTTCATGGACTTTCCTGCCTAGGGTGTCTTTGAACTATAATCTACAGATCTCAGCCTATCTAAGTAGCTAGGGCTATATGCACAAGCCACTGGCACCCAGCAGCTACACAGTCCATTTTTAATCACAGATACCACCATCCATTTTGAGCCATTTTCAAAACCAGGAAATTAATGTTGGATTTATTTGGATTTTTACCATTTTCCCCACCCACACTCTATTTTTAATACTTGCTGATTTGTATGTACCAGGGAAGATATTATCTAACCTCAAGAGAATAACAAATTGACCTTTTTGTTTATCAATAAGAAATATTAGAAATATCTTTTCCTACTCTGTTTCTAAATTTTATGATAACTTTGTTTGGTACTTGGAACAAACTAAGAACAAATTAGAAGGATTAGACAATATAGAAAAGAGACTAAGACCATCTTGTTGATAGAGAACTAGGTATTTCTATACCTAATGTATGGCTCCTGCAGTTCTACAGCTGAGTGAGATTTTCATCAGTGACAAAGAGAGGAATCAGAATTAACTAGGATTTTGGTAAAGAATTAGCTGACACCATAGATAGCTAATGAAAGAAATGTAGTAAAGTTTGTACATGAAGGGTGAGGATTAAAAAAAAATCCCTTAATGTGTGATTAACCATGGTTTTCAGAGCAGTAGAGAGGTTTTATTGGTTTAGATACATATCCCTAATTTGAACAACAATCACATTACACTCAATTAAATGCCAACTAGCAACAAGCCGGAGAGAAGTTGAAACTCTTGTTTTGCTGGTTTCTAACTTTGAGTTCTGATTCCATTTTTAAGTTGCCCTATATAAGAGTCACAAGATAAGAATAGTATATGTCTTGTAAATTTTCTAGCACATAAGTAAACACTTTATTAACACAGCTTTCAGTTCTGTCTTTTGAATGATTAAAACATGGAAATAAAAACTTATCATCTAGCCTAATGAGCATAAATTTAGGGAAAATAGCTTTGCCATGAAAAGAGGGCTTATTTTCAATAGGAAAAGAGAGGAAAATCATGCCCATACTTGCACCAGGTGCAGTAACTCCTCCATTTATGTATTTTGTAATGTTGCAATTGATCTATGGAAATGTCTCATTCTGTAAGATAATTCCATAGCAACAGGGAACTAGATCAAAACCAAAGGCCAGACTTTGGCTCCAAATCCAGCTATTTAGTTTCTCTTCTAGACACAGTCAACAACTTTTTGGGTCTCTCCAGGCAACAGCATCTGAGTCCCAAGCTAATCCGTGTTCATCCATAATTACAATTGCATGTCAAGGGAGAATCTGCCAAAAAGTCTTAAGACATAATTTTTTTGTTTTCTGAAACAGAAAACAAAACAACTGTTTTCTTAAATGGAAGCATGAAAGTAATTGAAAATTGGAAGCATTTCTACTAGCACATTAAGAGTTTGTAATCTAACCTGTGCATTTGACAGTGCTTTTCTATTCTCCCCATTGTCTGGTAACTTTTTTTGAGGACTGAGTCTCTGTGACTATGTGGTGCACTCTTCTATAATGAGGAAACATCTGGAATTCGTTCTGCAGATTGTGGAGGACAGTGTGTCTTGTCAAGAGGTAAATAGCAAACAGATTTAATTTCTGCTTAAAACTATCATAGGCATTCAAAAATAGAATATGTAAAATTTCTCTGTATTAGAAAAAGAAGCGTGATACCAATGTATATTTTCTTTTATTTATTCTCCTTAAGTCTGTTGGATGATAAATTGTAAATAACAATGATTAAAGAGTCATGCTACTGATGGATCCTCTTTTGTTGTGTTCATAGCACTAGTTCTGAGCTTTGTTACTCTTATTCTTTAAATCATTTTTGGAGCTGTAATGGGACATGGGGGCAGAGTTAGGGGTATATGCGTTGTGAATACCCATTTGTTGGGTTTATTCAACAGAAGATTATTTCAGTCAGTTTCTAAAACATTATTTTACTGTTAGAAATTCACACTTTTTGGTTCCGTTCTGGAGAATCTAGTTCAACTGACGATCATCAATTGACGATCCTCTGTTATTGTTATAGAATTTTCTTATTTGATACACAGAATCCAAATAAAGTCTGTCTTAGACTGCATACACATTTGCAAACTAACGTAACGATGTACAGCCAGAATACAGATTCAAACTTCATATAGAGACAATGAAATCACCAAAAACACATTCGCTGTTTTGTTTTCTGTTTTTTCTACCTGAAGAACATGTTCGTATTTTTATTGCCTTGAATAATAACATGGACATATTTCTTTCAGCTATGATTACAGGAGGTAAGGGAATAGATATAAATCTGACCAGATACTCATGCAGCTACACTCTTGACACTATAGGGTCTGGTTTGATTCCAGGATTAAAGACCAGGGGCGAAGGAGCTTTGTGGTGGGGGTGGGTGGTGTGAGAGTAAAGGAGGAAATGAAACGAGGGCAACAGAGATATGCATAGATGAACAGGCCTATTGCCAAAACTACTGCCAAAGTTTAAAGGTGGATATGAGTGTTGATCCCACACAGTTATGAAATGAGTATTTCTTAGCATATAGATTGTTAATAAGGCAGAAATTATATATACTATTATTTTTTTTTAACTAGCAGCTTAATGGACTCTGCATTTTTTAAGTGTTGAGGACTGGAAAACTGGTCCATGTACAGTTTTACATTGATTTCATATTTGGAAATGAAATGAACAAACTTATACCTACAAATATTATTTTATGTAATCTATGAGTCCTACATAAGACTCATTTCCAATATATAGGCAACAGAGAACCTTTTACCATTAATCAATTGTGTAAAATCCACTCCTGAAGTAGTCTTGGGCCAGGCTGAATATATGATTTCAAGGGAAGATGAATTAAAGATAGGAACAAGAGATATAACATGGCTTGACTGGAGGCTATTCTTTTGCTCTTGCTTGCAAACTAGAGGCACATTAGTTTGGTAAAAGTTTATAAAGACCAAAAATTGGTCTTTATAAATTGGTTATGGGAACAAAATACAGCTTTCTCAGACTGTCCATCTAAGGACTATTTTAGGCACCAAAATAGGAATCGGAGCTCAATTTCAGGTCTTAAAGTAGGGGTAAATCTATCATAATGTAGTATCTAGTCAATGGAATTGGTGCGTTTATTATTAAAATCATAAAGCCAAAGTTTGTCAGTGATAGGAGAATCACTGTGTGCCACCACATTTTGTTCTAGTTTCCAGAAAAGCAGAATAAGTACCCCTGAACAATACAAACCTAAGATGAATTGTTTGGGGTGATTGCCTACTTATCATGAATAAAATTAGAATTGTTATTGAGCTGTGTCCTCTATCACACACACACACACACACACACACACACACACACACACACACACACACACACTTATTCCCAGAAGCAGGGTTTGAATTTAGGGTCTTGGTTGATTAGTTCATTTGTTTAGCTGGCACTGTACAACTTGAACCTGCCTCAAGTCTGGATTAAGACGGAGTCTCATGGACTTTTCTATAGCTGCTGGCTATGAACCTCTATCCTCTAAATCTTAGCTGAGTAGCGTAAGTCACCAGCATACAGCATATACAATATTTTCAAACTATAAAATTAAATAGTATTTGTTGGAAAGAGTTCTAACAGGTCCATCTACTTTTCAAAGGTAATAGCACCAAATGATTTGTACAACTTGCAGGGGGGCGGGTGTTGAGGGGAGGAAAAGAGGGAGAAAAATGATGGAGGGTAACAGGTTCAACAAGAAATGTACTCACTACTTTACTTATATAACTGTAATCCTTCTGTACATCACTTTGACAATAAGCAAATAAAAAAAAAGCATTAACTTCAGTGGACACAAGGAAGACGAGAGTAAAGTTCTTTCACTCAGCTTAGATACAAGTCTTAGGGAAGGAGAACAGACTAGAGTCTGCTCTAATCTTCTGGCCCTCACTTTATTCACAATGGGCCTTGCACTGATTCTTTTTTTTTTTGGTTGGTCATGGAGCTTGAACTCTGGGCCTGGGCGCTGTCCCTCAGCTCTTCAGCTCAAGGCAAGCGCTCTACCGCTTGAGCCACAGCACCACTTCCGGTTTTCTAGTGGTTTATTGGAGATGAGTCTTACGGACAAGTCCTGTCTGGGCTGGCTTTGAACTGCGATCCTCAGATCTCAGCTTCCTGAGTAGCTAGGATGACAGGTGTGAGCCACGGGCACCCAGCTCTTGCACTGATTCTTATCAGAAGATTTTGGTGATGCTGAACTTCTAGAGTATCGGCCTCTTCCCTTTTTTGCAGAAATGAGTTTTCACTTAATAATCACATAACTTTCTTTTCTCTTATCCATTTACCTGTCACCTCTAAGCTCTCAAGACATTTTATTTATGTATTTAATTTTAGATGATACCAGGGTTTGAACTCAGGGCTTCCAGAGGTACACTTTCACTTGTGCCCCTATTCCTAGGCCCATGGAGAAACTTTAAGAAGACAATTAAATTGTAGACTCTTAGGAGCAACAGTTTAAAGTAGGATAGGTGTGGAATCTGAGTTGACTCCATTAGTAAAGAAATTAGTAAAGAAATTATACTTAGGAGTCTAATGTTTAAATAATTATATTCATCCTTGAGATCTAACTTTGTTGGCATTAAGATAATTAGTAGGCAAACCATTAATCAAAACTGAGCACCAAACTCCAACATCTAATAACTCACTTAGGGATCAGTGCAGTTTTTGTACTTATAACGTTGAAAGAGGCTATGGAGTAGATTAAGGTATGTTCAGGAGCCTGATGCGTGATTATGTGCACTTTTACTAAATGTTAAATGGGGCTATTACTAGCCTACAGAGGAAACTAGAGTAAGCTTTACAAACTTGAAAAATGAGCCTATAATAATGCATACTTTGAGCAAGTCCATCTTCCATATTGATTGAATCTATTTGAAAATCGTGGCTTAGCTGGGCGCCTGTGGCTCACGCCTATAATCCTAACTACTCAGGAGGCTGAGATCTGAGAATCATGGTTCAAAGCCAGCCCTGATAGGAAAGTCCCTGAGACTCTTAGCTCCAATAAGACCGGAAGTGGCACAGTAGCTCAAGTGGTAGAGGGCTTGCCTTGAGCTGAAGAGCTGAAGGACAGTGCCCAGGCCCCGAGTTCAAGCCCCACGACTGACAAAAAATATAAAAAAAAAGGCTTGTAGCTTGAGCCTGTGTGTGTGTGTGTGTGTGTGTGTGTGTAGTGCCAGTGCTTGGGCTTTAACTCCCTCTCCCTCCCCCTCCCCGCCTTTCCTCCCCCCTCTCCCACTCCTCTCCCCCCCTCTCCCCTCCCTCCCACTCCTCTCCCCCTCTCCCCCCTCTCCCACTCTCTCCCCGCCTCTCCCCCTCCTCTCCCCTCTCCCACTCCTCTCCCCCCTCTCCCACTCCTCCCCTCTCTCCCTCCTCTCCCCTCTCCCCCTCTTCTCCCCCCCTCCTCCTCCTCTCCCCCCCTCCCACTCCTCTCCCCCCTCTTCCCCCTCTCCCCCTGCCTCTCCCTCCTCCTCCTCTCCCCCCTCCCCCTCCTCTCCCCCCTCCTCCTCCTCTCCCCCCTCTCCCACCCCTCCCCCTCCTCTCCCCCTCCTCCTCCTCCTCTCCCCCTCTCCCACCCCTCCCCCACCTCTCCCCCCTCCTCCTCCTCTCCCTCCTCTCCCCCCTCCCCTTCCTCTCCCCCCTCCCCTTCCTCTCCCCCCCTCTCCCACCCCTCCCCTTCCTCTCCCCCCCTCTCCCACCCCTCCCCCTCCTCTCCCCCCTCCCCCTCCTCTCCCCCTCCCCTTCCTCTCCCCCCTCCCCCTCCTCTCCCCCTCCCCTTCCTCTCCCCCCTCCCCCTCCCCTTCCTCTCCCCCCTCCCCTTCCTCTCCCCACCTCTCCCATTTAAGCCACAGCTCCACTTCTGATTGTCGGTAGTTATCTGGAGACAGGAGTTTCAGGGCGTTCTGCCAGAACTTCTGGCTCTTCAGATCTGAGCCTCCTGAGTTCGCAGGATCGTGGGAGTGAGGACTGTCGCCTGGCCCTAAAGACGGTTCTTCACGGAGGAGGGAGTCTGGGATCCGCCGCGGGATCGACGCCGGCCCGAAAGGAGCAGAGAGTCCTGGAACCTCATCCCCTGGGTTCAGCCCTTTCTTCTAACTTAATTCTGGCCCCAACTCCATATTCCTTAGGCGAGACTCCGGGAGTCACAGTGGGTCCGCGTCCGCCGGCTCCGCAGCGCGCGCGCGCTCCCGGCTCCCGCCGGCTCCGCAGCGCGCGCGCGCTCCCGGCTCCCGCCGGCTCCGCAGCGCGCGCGCGCTCCCGGCTCCCGCCGGCTCCGCAGCGCGCGCGCGCTCCCGGCTCCCGCCGGCTCCGCAGCGCGCGCGCGCTCCCGGCTCCCGCCGGCTCCGCAGCGCGCGCGCGCTCCCGGCTCCCGCCGGCTCCGCAGCGCGCGCGCGCTCCCGGCTCCCGCCGGCTCCGCAGCGCGCGCTCCCGTCGGCTCCGCAGCGCGCGCTTCCGGCTGCGCGCTCTTCCGGAGGTGGAGGCGCGCTCACCTTACGACAAACACCCCACGACCCACACGCCGCGCCCGCGACACCCGAATCGCCCTGGGTGGACCCCTGCGCGAGCCGGAGAGGCGGGGCCTTCCGGGATTGGTTGAGACGTACAGCATCACGAAGCTCCGCCCCTCGTCTCATCGGATGTGGTTTTAGCTGGCACGGCTCAGAGTGGATGACGTTAAGAGAGGAGGTCCCTTCCTGGTCTCTGATTGGTGGGAATGCGAGTGGGAATGGCGGGGAGGTAGGGCCTAGGACTTGGGGTTTATGACAGCTGAGTCCAGCGCCCGGAGAACCTCCCAGCCTTGAAGCAGGCGAAGATGCGAAAGGTGGTTTTGATCACGGGCGCGAGCAGGTGAGGACTCCAGGTTGCAGAGGCCGAGTTTAAGAACCTACTCGACTCTGCCCCGCCTGACTGGGGGACTCGGGTCCAGATCCTCTATTCGCTGCGTCTCTCGTTCGTGTGTGTGTGTGCATGCGTGTGTGTGTGCATGTGTGTGTCTGTGTGTCTGTGTCTGTGCGTCTGTGTGTGTGCATGTGTGCCCTGTTCTTTGGGTGCGTCTGATGCTTTCTATGTTTCAGGTGTGTAAAGAAGGATTGATTGTTTCTTTCACACTTATTGTGATTTGTGCAATTGTGCACATGTATGCCATACTCTTATTGAGAGGGGGAACAAATTCTAGACTTTTAGGAGATTCTGTTGGACTGTATTCAGCTTAAGTCTTGGAAGAGGACTTAGAACCCAGCTTTTCACTGCTATCATTCCAGCTGGTCTGACTGCTCTCTCCATCTACTGGGCATTTTTATAATATCCTTTTGAAATTTATTTAAAGTCTTCCAGAAGTGTATGACTTCCTGCTTCGCTTTTCTGGCTCCCACCTATTATTATTCTTATCTTCTGCTTAGTCATGCTGAGGTCATCCTCTTTCCATTGGTTATTCAACATAGTAGTTGAGGAGATTTGACCTGCCACATTCCTAATCTGTCTTCTGAGACCCTCATCCATCCCTGTATTCCTGGTGTTCTTTGTAATGGGATGGTACCTATAGATGGAGGAGCCCTCACCCATGAGGAACATAGACAGCAAAGAAAACATGCATACAGATACAGCTAACATGATGTTCTTTTATTTTTAAACACTTTCTGGTGCTATATTGACTCACTTTTATGAAAACATAGTAAGTGTAAATAAAATACTTACACAGTATAAATTGAACTTATTTTGGAATGAGAGAAACAAACTGGGTTATCATCCTGTGCAGTGAGTATTAGATTGGGGAATGCCTCATTTTGAATGTTTGAATATTTTCTGTGTGCCTGGTGTCCACTGAAGCTCAAATTGACCAGAGAGAAATACCTTCATTTGGCATCTCAATGAACCACATTCTGGATCCACATTGTCTTCCCAGTGGCATTGGCCTAGCTCTTTGCAAGAGACTGCTGGCTGAGGATGATGAGCTTCACCTATGTCTGGCATGCAGGAACATGGGCAAGGCAGAAGCTGTCTGTGAAGCTCTGTTGGCCTCTTACCCCACCGCTGAAGTCAGCACTGTACAAGTAGATGTCAGCAATTTGAAGTCAGTGATCTGGGCTGCCAAAGAGTTAAAGCAAAGGTATGTCTTATTGACAGATTTTTTTCTCTGTAAATATGTAGTGTACCATTTAGTAAAATAAGGCAGGATAAGAAAGCCTGAATAAGGAACAAGTACAATATAAGATGTTATTCTAAGCTGGACACTGATGGCTCATGCCTATAATCCTAGCTACTCAGGAGGCTAAGATCTGAGGCTTGTAGTTTGATTCTAGACCTGGTTGGAAAGTCTCAATTAACCAGCAAAAAAGTGCAAAGTGGAGCTGTGGCTCATGTTATAGAGCGCCAGTACGTCTTGTTCTAGTAGACAGGTGAAAGTTGAAAGTGATTTCAGTTTCATCCAGAGTAAAGCAACTGTGTCAATCATTTCATTTTTAAGTATATAGTAAGTATATTCTTTTACTGAAGCCAGAACTTAATTTGGAGCTTTGATGCACTATTTATTCCTTGCTAAGTATTTCATCATCATGCCTAGCAAAACAGGTGGCAATCCATACAGGAAAGTTGGTGAACCAGATAATGGAGCGAGCAACCAACAGTAGGTGGAAACATTGTCTTTGTGACACTTGAAGTGATGACCCAGTGGTACCACAGCATTTTAAATATTCAGCTTAGTAATCAGCCCCATTTGGTTGTTAATAATTTGTAAGATGATCAAAAAATAATTCTGTGTCATCCATACTGCCAACTATATAATATATTTCAAGGCCAACTTTTAGTATCTATGGCCTTGTCCTGGGTTCTACAGAGGACACTGTGTGGTGCCTAGAATTCTGGGATGTGTTCTGAATGTGCATGGTGTCTGTGAGCATCATGGAGTCAGGTTCTACTTGTCTTACTAGTTTAAAAGGGACCTACTTAGATAAAGGCTCATGTAGGTTTAACAATGTAAAGATCCCATAACAGTCTTCTCCAAGAGCCTACTGAGAATACCTTACCCCCTTCAGTGTTATAATTCCCTTGTTTTACAGAGAACTTTGATCATTTCATGATATATAGCCCCAGTCCATGACACTGAATACTTTCCACATAAGTCTTTGGTTTTGTCAGATGTCTTAGCATTCAGATTCCAGCACTGATAGATTAGGTTAGGTATGCTAAACATTATGTATAATTTATATATCAATTATGGATAATGTGGATTTTTTAAACTCAAAAAGCATTGGTAGCACCGTGGTAGAAGAATTTGTTTATAGGGAAGATTGGACTTCCAAGTCTATGGGAGTGGCCATGGATTAAAAAAAAGATACTAAGATATTTATTGTAGCTAAAGAAAAACTGTTGATTAGGAATGAAGGGCATGTTGCAATTCAGATGTTATTTAGCAAGCAGTGGCCATTGAAATGTGCTCAGAATCTTTTCTGTCCCCAGATTTTTGGCATTCTAGAGAGAGTATACAGTCTTATCTTGGTTATTCTGAATGTCTTATTTGATGTTTTTCTTGCAGGTTTCAAAGATTAGATTATGTATATCTAAATGCTGGGATCATGCCTAATCCACAGCTAAATGTCAAAGCAGTTTTGTCTAGCCTCTTTTCAAGGTAATTTCATTTTCTAGGTGAACTGATTGAAAGGAAGATGCTCACTTTTCTGCCAAAAAATTTTGCCTTTGGTGGGCTGAGTTGGGGGATGGAAAGTAAGAGGGTATTGCAAACGATAATGACATAGGAGGGGATCCAACCATGGTGTGAAGGAAGAGCACTCGCTCATCTTCTGTGCCAAATACACAGGATTCCATGGTATTCCATGTCACATGGTCAGATGTTTCAGGATCTCAGTTCTGGATACTTGAATGTGCCTGTTAGCAAGAACATTTCTAACTTAGGCAGAGTTCTCAGACTCTAGAACCCAGGAAGGCTGTTTTGGAGAAGTACCTGTCCTTCAGTGCTCTGTCCACTAGGTTGAGGAAGTGTAGGGAAGTGATGTCTACTGCAAGAGTGTCAACACACATTGCTATAGTGGTTTTCAGACATGTTTACCCAAAAGCCAGAGTAAAAAGTAAGTCTTATTATGCAGCCCGCCATACTTACCCGCCATACTTTTCTTGCTACACTGATACTTTGCCACACTGATACTTTGCTTTACTTTTCTTCCATGGAAACACAAAGACCAAGGATCTATGACACACACTTGTAATCCAGCTAACTTGGGAAGTAGAGGTCAGGAAGATCATGGTTTGAGGCCAGACCATGAAAAACTTGTGAGACCCCCCCCCCCCATCTCAATCAATAGCTGAGTGTGATGGTATGTGCATGTCATTCCAGCTACATGGGAGGCTGAGATAGGGAGGATTATGGATCTAGGCCAGCCCAGACCTATAAAAATTTTTCTGATACCCCATCTCAACAGAAAAAAAACTAGGCATAGTGGTATACACTTGTCATTCCAGCTAAATTGGGAAATGTGTAGATGGGATTGTGGTCAATGCTGACCTTGGCCAAAAGTGAGACCCTATCTCAAAAATAACCAGAGAGATGGGCCTGGGAAGGTGGCTCAGTGGTAAAGCGCTTGCCTTGCGTGCATGAGGCCCTGGGGTCGATTCCTCAGCATCACACAAGCAAAAAGAAAAGAGCCAGAAGTGGTGCTGTGGCTCAAGTGGTAGAGTGCTAGCCTTGAGCTGAAGAGCTGAAGAGCTGAGGAACAGCGCCCAGGTCCAGAGTTCAGGCCCCACGACTAGACCCCCCCTCAAAAAAAAAATAGCCAGAGAGAACTGGGCTCTGGTGGCTTCTCCCTGTAATTCTAGTTACTCAGGAAGGAGTCTGAGATCTGAGGTTAACAGTTTGAATCCAGGCAGGAGAGTCTGTTAGATTCATATCACCAAATAACTACTTAAAAAAAAAGCAGGATATGGAGCTCAAAAGGTAGAGTGCTAGCCTTGAGCAAAAAAACCTCAGGGATAGCACCCAGGCCCTGAGTTCAAGCCCTAGGACTAGCATTGAACAACCAACCAGAAAACACTCACACACACACACACACACACACACACACACACACACACACACACACACACACACACACACACACACCACACACACTCAGAGCAAAAAGGGTTAGGGTTGTGAACTCAGAGTGGTAGATTACCTTACCTACCAAAGTGTGATGACTTGAGTTCAAACCTTAGTACCACCAAAACCAAAACAATATACAAATGTTACGCTAGTTTTGGATTACTAAATTGATCTCATAGCAAACCCCTGTATTTAATAATTCCTAATGAGGAATAACCTTAAAAATTCCAGCAGTTAAATATATTTGGTGCAAGTGAAGATTTTTTTTTTTCTTACTGGCATAGCTATCAATTCTTTAAGACAGTGCACTTGTAATCTGAGTTAGAAGCAGGTAAAGAGAGTGTTGGAAACAGGATATTGAGAGACTTGGGTTTCTTTTGGTATTATAAACTGTAAAGTTTGTAAGTTTATCTGAATTGGGGGAGAAGAGAGTGTTTCATATCTTATTGAATACAATCATCTGATCGGAGAGCTTAGTCCTCTTTTATTCCTGTCATTATAGAAGCAGTGAAGATAGTGTGTGCATGTGTTGGTGGGGTGGAATTTGAGCTGGGTTGCAGAGGAAGTGCCTTCAGTGATCAGTCAGAGATGCTTTGAAAATGACCCCTCTGTCTTTTGTTTCAGAAATGTGATTCACGTGTTTTCTACAGCTGAAGGACTGTTGACCCAGCATGACAGAGTCACCGTGGATGGGTTGCAGGAGGTTTTTGAAACCAATGTCTTTGGCCACTTTGTGCTGGTAAAACAACTTTGGGCTTGCTAAACCTATCCTTGGTGCTCTAGTCATGAGGGTTTGCATGGAGATATTACAGTAATGTATTGTTCAGTTTCCTCTATGATTCATGCTTTGTATTAGTATGGTCCAGTCCTCCAAGTCAATGACATTGCTGCATTCTTCTTCTTCACTAAACTCCAGACCTTACTCAAATTGCTCAATTTTTGCCTCTTGTCCCGTTTTCAGTTCTGGGATTTCATCCAAGACACCACATTACTTTAGTAGTCCAATCTCCCCAGGCCCTTCTAGGTTTTGAGGTTCTGAGGACAGTTTTTAGATTGTTGCTCAGGTATTTTGTAGACTGTGCCTCAGGTGGGATTTGCTAAAGTCTGTCTTATTATTACACTGGGGAATCTGTTTCAGGAAGAGGACGGTAGAACTGAAGCACCATTCTCATTTCAGTATACACAGTCATTGATACTCACGTCTGTCCCATAGTTTGAGGTAGTGTTTGTCTTCTCCATTGTAATTCAGTATACACAGTCGTTGATACTCACCTTGGTCCCATAGTTAGAGGTAGTGTTTGTCTTCTCCATTGTAATTCAGTATACACAGTCGTTGATACTCACGTCTGTCCCATAGTTTGAGGTAGTGTTTGTCTTCTCCATTGTAATTCAGTATACACAGTCGTTGATACTCACGTCTGTCCCATAGTTAGAGGTAGTGTTTGTCTTCTCCATTGTAAAGTCATTCCTTTTCTTTCTCCTTTTCCCTCCTGTACTCTTTGTAAGAAAGTTACAGTGCATAGCCCTCACTTATGGGTTTGTGATACACTTCCTTAAGGGTGATTATCTCTGTAAACTATTTGAAATTTTTCTGCAAAGGAGATTTGTCTCTTCTCCATGTTTTAAATATGTATTCAATCATTCTGATATTCATATGGGTAATAGATGCATATTTGCTATTTCTGAAGTTGCAAATAATCTGCATTTTTTCATTTGACATTTCTACCTCTCGGACATACCCCATCATTATTGTTTTCTGCTTTTGTTTTGAGCATTTGTCTTGCTTTTAGGCCCTCGATGGTGCTCCAGGCTGATTTTTGTATGTTTCCTAAGTTAGTTCTGGAGTTAGTTTCTCTAGGGCGATCCAATTACTGTTACTGGAGAATGGTTACTAGAGATCAAGGTCTAGAATTTGTTATTACTGAAATGTCCATTGATTCTAGACCTTCTGGATGAAGACGATAAGTATATGCAGACTAATCCCCAGGTGTGTGCATATTTATAAGTATTTCACACTAGATGTGAGTTACTCTTGATGTTGCTAACCCTAGTCATTCTAGCCTTCTCCTCTTGCCACACTTGTTTCCTCTCCTTCCATTCACTTACTTAATTATTTCATTTCAGTATATATAGATAATAGTATCAAAATCGTTACCTTATACCCTTTAGTAGATTTTGAACAGTTTTGTATTTTTTTTTCTTGCACTCAGATTCGGGAACTGGAACCTCTCCTGTGTTATAGTGACTGTCCATCTCAGCTCATCTGGACATCATCACGTAATGCAAAGAAATCAAATTTCAGCCTTGAAGATATCCAGCACAGGAAAGGCCAGGAGCCCTACAGCTCTTCCAAATATGCCACTGACCTTCTGAATGTGGCTCTGAACAGGAACTTCAACCAGAAGGTTCGGCCTGCCTCCATGATACAGAAATAACAGTGCAGTGTTTTCTGATTTAACTACTGATTTCTTAGAACTAACTATTGTAATGTAGGCTAAGTTGGTGTACATAAAAGCTTTAAGGCACAGATACTTCTTGTCTTTTAGGCATATGTGGTTCATTTATCATTCTATAATCTTCAGGAACTCTTCTGTCTGCCAATAGAATAACACCACTGACTAGCAACAGCCACTGTTTAAGTACTTGATATTTCAGTTGCTATATTCTCTGTATATTTTATATTTGGTACTTTCTCTGTTGTAACTAGGTGGGTCTAATTGTTCCTATTTTCAGATATAAGTGTGTGTGTGTATGGATGTGTCTACATATATATGTATGTGTGGGTAAGTGTGTTTATCACATGTGAAGGTGCATATTACATGGATAGGCCTTGTGGGTATGTGTCTATGTGTATGAGCAGATATGGGGGATATATGAAATGTTTGTATACGTGTAGATTTATGAGTGTCTTATTCGTACATTGACTGTTATCATAGCATGGGTTCAGTGTATTGATCCACTTATGAGCCTTCTGCTGACATTTTTTTCTTTTCTTTTCTTTTTTTTGGGGGGTCCGGTCGTGGGGTCTGAACTCTGGGCCTGGGTGCTGTCCCTCAGCTCTTCAGCTCAAAGCTAGTGCTCTACCACTTGAGCCACAGTGCCACTTCCGGCTTTTTTCTTTTTGCTTATGTGGTACTGAGGAATCGAACCTAGAGTCTCATGCATGCAAGACAAGCGCTCTACCACTGAGCCACCTTCCCAGTCCTGCTGACATTTTTTTCTTCAGTCAGGTAATGAGTGCATTTCTTTTTGAACAATGGTACTCCTCCTGACATTTCTTAAGATAAATGAAAACTTGCTCATTATTATTCTTTTGTAGTCTGGAAATTTCCTTCTAAAATGTGAGGGTAAGCTTGTCCTTCCATAAAAAGCTCTGGGATTTTTGGGGCTGGGATGATGGCTCAGCGGTAGAGTGCTTGCCTTATATGCATGAGCCCTGGGTTCGATTTCTCAGCACCCCATAAGCAGAAAAAGCTGGAAGTGGTGCTGTGGCTCAAGTGGTAGAGTACTAGCTTTGAGCTGAAGAGCTGAGGGACAGCACCCAGGCCCACAGTTCAGGCCCCATGACGGACAAAAAAAAAAAAAAAAAGCTCTGGGATTTTTTTAGTTAATGTTGCTCTATCCTAAAATATTGGGGTTGGTTTCCAACACTCTGTGACTATTCTGGGCCTAGAGGAAAGAAGAAATGTAGAAAGATCTACATTAGAGGATTTCTGCTGAAGCCTTCTATTGTTGGAATCCTAGTCAGGTTCTGTATTGCTACCCTGGAGATTTTAATCATGCAGCAATGGTCCCCCAAGCAATCCATATGCATTCTCAGGATGAACACAATTTTAATATTAATTACCAACTCATATAAATTCTTGAGATTCGCAAGAATTCTGTTTATTCCCATGTAATAAGCATGTGGAGAAACTACAATCTTGGCTAAGACTATTTATTTATTTTGCTTAATCAACATGTTGAAACTCCTGGATTTTAGTTCAAAGACTAACCATTTAGGGCAAAATAGTTCCTAACTGCTCCTAGAGATTTCTTAGTATAAGATTTTTTTAAAAGCTATCTTTGGTGCAAGATATATTATTCTCCTGGACAGAACATTTGAGCTATAATGATGAATCTTGTCTCTTGACTTTTGCTCAGATGATTGTTGATTTTCTTGATCCTGACAAAGATAAGCTGTATCTGGGACTTTCCAGGTTCTGCAGTCCTAATTAATGGAAGGAAACCTTCCATATTTTGTGGGCCAGGTGATTTTTGTCCATCTGTGTTGTACCAGCACTTCCTACTTCCTATTTAAAGGAAAAGAATGAGATTAAAAATAAAGATATAAGTTAAAGTATAAAAAGCAATAGAAAATGGAGCAAAAAGTATACTAACTAAAATAGTAAAAGTTTAGGGCTGACTGCACGTGACCTAGAGCCCTTCTTGTTAACATAAGCTCAGTTAGGTAGGGCTCTCTTCCTAGAACAGAACTTTCTATAATGATGAATCCAAGGTTAAGGATCTGATTTACAGATCTTCTAATAATAGACGTTTGTTCCCTTTCTACACTAGGAAAATCCATCTCAGGAGAGAGGTATGGGTCTTTTGTACCTACAGGGAAACTACATGTACTCTAGGCTTAGCTATCCATATTTACTAGATTGGAAACTTTTTGAATGCAAAGATTGTATTCAGAGTATTTTTATCTTAAGTGCTAATTAGGATTCATAAACTGATCTTCCATTAATCTAACACCAAGTAAAACCTAGGTATCCGAGTCTCACTTCCTCCTTCCCCCAGCTTCGAGATTGGCTGTTCTTTATAAAATAAGTTTCTTGAGAATAGAGACTTTATCTTATTGATTTTTATATCCTCTTCCTGGATTATCAGCACATGATTTTTTTAAGCATTCATTTTCTCTATACTGTATAGCTTTTAAAAATATTTTTTATTTTCTGAACTTCAAAAGGTTGTACAAGAGGGTTACAATTTAATATTTCATCTAAGTATCCAATCAGCACATTATTCTTAAGCTAAAATAGTCTACTCTATTTTAAGGATACCTCATAGCATAAATTCTTGGCTTTCTGGCTTATATGTGCGTAGCTTTTATATTAACTTATATAGTTAAACAGAGATAATACATGTGAAATTAAAATCTTACTATGCCCCCTTCCTGCTCCCAGGGTCTATATTCTAGTGTGGTGTGCCCAGGAACAGTAATGACCAATCTAACTTATGGAATTCTACCCCCCTTTGTGTGGACACTGTTGCTGCCAATAATATGGATGGTGAGTAATGAATACTTTTTTTAATAGTTGAGAAATGATTAAGGAAATCAAACCAGGAGGTGGCAGATTTCGACTTGAACTCAAACCAGGAGGTGGCAGATTTCGACTTGAACTTTTGGATGTTACTTTATGTAGTCTGTTTCATACTCCCTTGGTGTTAATGTTATTCTAGTACCTACGTAGCTGCTTCTCTTGAAAATGAGCTTTTAGTCATGCACTACAGATTCCAGGAGTTGCATACTCATTTAATTTTGGGAAGCTACATTAAGAAATGTTAAGCTGGATTTCTTTGAGATTTCAGTATGGTCCTGTTCATTAAATGTTCTCAAGGACAGGATGATTGTACATTTTATGACCTATTGTATTTCATTTGTTTATTTTGTTGTTTTAAGCATCTCACCAGTTCACTGTTTCTTCAGCACACATTGGAAAATGCTTTTGTTAGGAAATGTATCTCCTATTAAGTGCCAGAAAGAAAGTTTTCTCCATTATGGAAGGCATAGGAAAAATATCAGAAATAAAGATGTTTTATGCTGAAAGTATTTGACTTGTAGAGGTAGAAATGAAGTGAACTTTTTGATACTCAGAAATCCTAGTTTATCATTAGAAATGTGAGTTTTTTCATTAAGATGTAAGTGGATAGTTCTTTTGTGACTGTTTTAAACTACTTCAAAATGTCTGTTCTTTTCCTCAGCTTCGCTTTTTTGCAAACGCTTTCACTTTGACACCATACAACGGAGCGGAAGCACTGGTAAGTTAGTTACTAAAGAGTTTAGAGCTTCTCTAATGGTTTAGTGGATATGAACTCTTAAGTTTACTGAAAAGGTTAAAAAAACAACAAGCTCTGTGGGTTATTACAGTTCTGTCTGGGACTGAGGTAGATCATCAGCCTAGATGCAAAGATGAGGAATGAATTTTGAAAGTTTGACATCTACCATAGTATTGGTTACCATGATTATATAAGCAAGATATACCAGCAACTGGGGGATAGACAGCACTGGACGGAGAGACAAAGCAAGATGGTGGCAATGAGTGAGTGATTTCCTTTGGAGGAAGAGAGCCTTGTGGGACAAGAGTAGGAGCAACAATCTCTTATTTCATTACATGAAGTTCCCTTATCCTTTATTAGAAAAACTGGATTTCCTTAGGCCACACATAGCAATGGATTGCTTGTATTTCCATATCAATGGCAAACATTACTTATGAATTTCAGTCCCCCTTTCTCCTGCATTAAAGTGATGCTACTGAGTAGTTTCAAGCTGAAAGGCCCAAAGCCTTATAGACAACCTCCAAGAATAGGTCACAATTGGTATCCAAGATAAAACTCGTCATCTGTCCTTGGCAGAGTCTGGTTGAATTGCAGTTGGGTTAAAGTCAGTTCTTTCTGTGTTCCCTCCTTCCTTTGAGCTCCTTCAGGATTTTTTGCTCATCATCCTGGGAACTTGAGGGTCTTGTGTTATAATGTCAAGTTTAGTAGAATCTTAAATTTGGACTGAGTTTAATTTAACTGAGGAAAATAAGAAGGGATTGGCTTGGAGCTCTTGCTTTGGTAGGTATCACAGAATCAAATGTATTTCCTGTAGGACTGGCGGTAGAAGTTATGTGCTTTTAGAATATATTTTAATTGCTTCTTAATATAATCCATAGAAGTATTAATTTGTAGTCCTTTAGAGGAATATTCATTCTGCACATCTGTGGCACTGAAATCAAGTCTGAAGGTCAAGACTGTTCAGGGTCAGTGTGGGGGGTGGTATTTGGAAGATGAAAATATATGACTAGCATTATGTTCAGAAGAAACAAGAATCCATAAATCAGGTAAGCAGGCATCATGTAAGGAGTAATCAGAAAGGAGGGCTAGTGAGGGGCAGGAGAGACTTTTGCTTACTGAGTGGGATTGATCTGGCCTTGGCAGAGGCTGGATTTGAATAGAGTAGGCAGCGTGACTATCATGTTCAAAAAGAAATCATTGTAACCTGGATGTAATTTCCTAAAATGTAGATGGGTAGAAAGCTCTTACCTTAATACCAATCATCTAGGGGTGGTTGTGGGTGCTGGTAGGTATGGTTGCTGATTTTTAAGCACTCAATAGGAGGAAGATCAGTCTCTTTCAGTCTCTGGTGCAGTCTCCTTAAAAGGAGAGAGAGCTTGAGCTTGACCATGAGACACCTAAAGCATATTGTTTAAAAGGGAAGGTGCTAGAAGAGTGGAAGAAAATAGAAAGCTTAGAAATGGCCCACAAATATGTATGATGAAGATGACTTTCCAAAATCAGAGAAATGAGTTGTTGAGTAAATGGTTTCAAAAAGTAGATTGGGATCTTTTCTTATGAAAATAATGTTACAGATGAGTTCAGAGATTAAATATAAAAAAAATAAAATAACAAGAAGGAAATATGAAGCAGTAACTAGTTTCATTGTAGAAACAGTAAAAAACTGAATATTTCAACTAAAAATTTTAAAATTTGTATGTTCCAAAATCCCTACTCTAAATAAAACTCTCAGACTAACAACTGAGTGCAAAAAAAAATATCTGTCACTCATATTCTAGATAAAAGGCTAAGTGTTTTAATAGGTAAGGAGTTTCAGCAGATTAGAAAAACCGACCTATTGAGGTGATGAGCAGAAGACACAATGTTTCTGAACTGTTGCAATAATATGAAAAGATGCTAAAGCTGACTCAGATGAAGAGAAATGTAAATTGAATGTGTAATTATGCTAAACTTGGTGGCTCCTATCTGTAATTCCAGCTATTTTGGAGGCTGAGATAGAAGGATTGCAGTTGGTGGGCCAAGAAAAATAAAAGTTAGTGAGACTTTATCTCAAAGAGCAAATCAGTCATGGAGGTTCCTATCTATAATCCCAGTTACATGGGAGGCAGAGGTAAGAGATCACAATCTGAGGCTGGCCTCTGGCAAAAGCAAGACCTTTCCTGAAAAATAAAGCAAAAGCATTTGAGGATATAGCTCAAGTGGTAGAGTGCCTGTCTAGCAAATACAAAGCTCTAAACTCAAATCCCAGAACTAGCAGAACAAAAGAGACTTTTTAATTAAAAGTTTTTTTTTTAAACTCAGATTAGCAAAGATTAGGAAATTAGACAATGCAATGTATTTGCAAAGGTATGTGGAAATGAGAACTTTTCTAAGTTGTCAGGAGCAAAGTAAGTTACTATAGCTTCATCAAGAGCTCCCTAGCCATGGCTAATCAGAATATTAAGTCCGCATGCTCTTCTCCCAGCAGATCCACTTTGGGTATTTGTTTTACAGATACAGTCTACATTTCATGAGTAGAATTTTGTGGGGTAGAATTTGTAACAAGCAAAGAACGGAAACAGCCTGTATATCTTTAGTTAGAAATAGAGTATGGTAAGCTTTTGGAAAGAATGAAACTGCTCTGCATACATTAATTTGCAAATGTTTCAAATGCTTTCTTTTGACTAAGAGAAAATGATGAATGCTCTTAAATGAATAGATTTTCTCTGCACAATACACAATTTACCACTAAGAGTGGTTGCTTCTAGAAGGGGAACCCAGATGACTGGAAAGTTGGAAAGAGAGAAAAATGTTTTATTTCATGTACATCTTTTGAATGCTGGACAGGCAATTCCCATTATTGCATCAGTGAGTGACTTGTACTTGCTGTGGGATGAACTTAGATTGTCCCTACATAAGTAGTGTATATGCCATGAAATGTGTATGGCAATCAAAGGAAGAAACAGCCAAAGTGTGATGATTCTCTTACCTTCCTTCTTTCTCCGGGTTATCATAGTGATTCATGAAAGTATCCTGGTTACCTGAGGATTTTCAGAAGAATATTTAGGACTTTTTTGAGGGACCCTGCTAGGTACTGGTTGCTAATACCCAACCAGCCTCACTCCCCTGGAGCAGAAGAAACACATCATTGATACATTCTTCCTTTCTAGGTATGGATGTTCCACCAAAAACCCGAGTCTCTCAATCCTCTGACCAAATACATGAGTGCTACCACAGGTTTTGGAAACAATTATGTCACCATGCAGAAGGTAACGGTGTTCACATTTTTCTGCTTGGGTCTTTACTCTGTTCACAGGCCTATTTTTATTTCTTTTTTTTTTAATCTTTTTTTTAAAATTTCAAGGTTGTGTACAGAGGGGTTTCAGTTACATAAGTAAGGTAATAAGTGCATTTCTTGTCTAACTTGTCACCCCTTCCCTTGTTTTTCTCCTATTTTCCCTATCCCCCAACCCGCCCAAAGATGTACAGATCATCTCCAGCCTATTGTCTTGTGAATATCGCTGTTGCATCCCCGCTTGTCCTTTGCCTCACCATTCTGTTGGTCCTCTTCCCCTCCCTAATGCAAATAAACATATATACAATACCAGGATACCAAAATCAAATACAGTGACAACAGGGGATATACCATAGGGGGAAGAACATACAAAAGAAACAAAAAATCACATAGTATATCAAAAACAGCAACAAAGAAAAACCTCTTGTGTCCGTGTCTTGGAGTTCGTTTCGCTTAGCATCATCTTATGTGGTCATACTCTGTTCACAGGCATCCCGATGGCTCATCTTCATTTCTTATTGGTTGTTTTTTATTCCCGGCCTCTGAGCTTTCCAAATCTCATTCTCTCACCTGAACTGTCTGCCCCTTCCTGAGTCTGACTGGCTTCTGTCATCCTTCAGATCTCAGCTTACTCCCATTCTGTAACTCTTTAGACTAGATCAGATGCTTCCTTTGTGGGCTCTTCTGTACATGACCTATGTAGCAGTCCCCTTTGGGTTCTATTGTCAGCCTGTAAGCTCTGTGAGAAGGACTGCTCCTCTCCCCTCCCTCTACACTGCCATATGCCTAGGGGCACTCAGTAAACCCATTGCTAATTGAGGGAAATATGGAGTCTCTTTCTATGTGAAGTTAATTTCCCTTTCAGTATTCAGATTCTGTTTGGGGTAGTTATCAGCTTTATCGATTAATATTTGATAAGACAGGGGATAGAGTCCAGGGAAAAAAAATCATACAAATACTGCATTTTTTAAAGATTCTGTATAATATTCTAAAAAGAAATCAAACAGTCACACATTGGGGCATGAGGAAAGTGTAATTCTCAAATATAAGACCTATTTTGTACTTTTATTGTAAGTGGGTTTACTTTGGCCTCACATTTTTCTCTGCCTAGTTTGCAAGGAGGCATTAGCAGAAATCAGAATTGGATTGAGGCAAATAAGACATCCCAGCTAAACGACGATGAGCAGCAGGGGCTGCTACACCAATAGCAGGAGATCTAAGAAGTGTCATATACATTGATTCTGAGACTATTTATTTATTAAAAGTGAACCATCCATGATTTTTGAAATCTGTCCTTTGGGATACTAGTTTCCTGCAAGCATTTGTAAGATGCTCCAGATGAGTAAATTTGAGGAATGATTCATATTATGCTCCCACTTTTCCATAATTGCACAATTCATCAGCTCAGTAAAGGCTTTGAAAAGTTAAGAAATTGAGATTGAGTGTCGTGGGGCACACCTGTCATCCTAGCACTCAGGAGAGCTGAGACAGAAGAATCATGAGTTCAAGGCTAGCCTGAGCAAACTTAAGTGAGAAGAGAAAAAGACAGACAGAGATTAGGAGTAACTTGTTTAGTACTGATAATCCCAAAATTGTTCTTTGTGAATTTTTTTCCTCTCAAGTTGTACCTAACACTTTAATACCCCAAATTGTACATTTTGTAAATAATAAACTTACTTTTAGGCTCTAAGGGCTTATATGAATGTACTGTCTAGTAACTAAGAAGGACCAATTTATTTATCAATGGGAGGAAATGTTTAATTCTACAAACCACAATATTTCCTTGTCATTCTGTGAAGTTCATTGAAGAAAACATTCTAACCTTTGCTTAGTTTTGAGCAGTTGGATTTCTCCTCTGCTAAAAGATAGAATTGAGTTTCAATATGGAAAAGTACTACTGTAATTGAATACATAGAGATAGCAACTATAAAATATTTTTTAAAAAGTGTCTTTGTGGAAGTGGTGCTATAGCTCAAGCAGTAGAGCGCTCGCCTTGAGCTGAAAAGCTGAGGGACAGCGCTCAGGCCCAGAGTTCAAGCCCCACGACTGACAAAACAAAAAAACAAGCAAAATAACAACAACAACAAAAAAAAAAAACAAGCAAAAGTGTCTTTGTTACCTTTTCAGTTTTGTCAAGGAGCCTGTTTTTGAAATTTAGGCTGTGTTGTTGTGGAGAAAAGATTGCAGCATTTTATAGGTAGGGAGAGTTTGTTTCTCCGATGAGTTAAAATGAAATTTTCTGCTTGAAACACAGGATTATACAATAATAGTGAATTAAACAAGATAGAATCTTGTTTTCTCGCATGTGAAAGCAGGTATGTAGTCTCTGTTCCTTTCCTGTAGGTATACTGTTGGTTTTGTTGTCTTTGTAGTCATCACTATTTTTGCTTCTTTTCCAGATGGACATAGATGAAGACATGGCACAAATATTTTACCAAAACTTACTGGAACTAGAAAAATGTGTGAAGGACACCTTTAGAAAAGCAGATTGCCAGAGATGAAGCACTGAGCACTTCCAAATGCATTCCAGGGCATATGGCTCTGTGTGTGGCATTTGTAAAACAGGGTGCAATGATCTTTCTCCCTTCCTTCCAGAATTATCTCCAGGACTTGATGTGTGCATGTGTGTTTGTATGTGCACATGAGAGAAAGATCAGGGAAATGCTCCCCAGAATGGTGTTATTCACCCAGGAGAATGTTTGTTTGTATTGTTCTGCCAAGTGGGATGCATATTAGAGTTCATCTTTAGTAATTATGACACAGGCACACCTGAGACCCACTTTTGATCTGCCCTGGCAGGACAGGGGACTGCTCACTCTCTGAGCAGTACTTTCAGCTATATCTCTTTCCTGATGAGCAATATTTTCCCCCATGGTCTTCTGATTTATTTCCTTTTCCAAGCTGCTTCTAAAAAATCCTTAAGATTGGCAGAAACTAAACAATGGCAACGTGGCCAGTACTCATGTGATTAATCACAGAAAGAAAACATGTGTCTCTCAATTACTTGAATTATTATTCTTAAGAGTATTTTTTATTGCTGTTGGCTCAGTGTATGCCAACACTGGGCTCAGTTCTCCACATTTTCTGGTATGTTCACTAGGGATCAACTCATTTTCATACTCAGGATTTTTATAGCTATCAACTTGTAGCATAAAATTATTTACTCACATGAAGTTTCAACAGAAGTTTCTAAATGAATAACTGTTAGTCATAGATCTGCTGGTATAAGGGGCACTATGATAGTAGAAAAGAAGTGATTAAATTAATTTACATGTGTCAGATAATTAAGCAAAACTAAATCTTAAACGGGCCACATCCCAGTCTCATTGATCACCTAAACAGTATGTTAAAATGAGTACGTTTTCTTTTTCTATCAATGATATCAACATAACACCTGAAATGTAATAAAGTCAGTTTGTTTTTGAATGACTAAATACAAATGAGCAATGTCACATAATTTCCCCCACAAGTTAAGTGGGAAGTGTTTCAACTTCAGGTTTTCTAATTCTGTTGAATTTTTTTCTTTATGAAGCTAGACATTCTACAAGTGGAGATGAGGGCTATTCCCGTGGGACCCCTGGGTCTTTTGAGAGGGAAATGAAACTGAGAGGGGGCCTGGTTTTCGCTCTCCTATTTGCTCCACCCAAGCCCCTCAACCACTGTGATCCCATTCTTCTGCAAAGAAGAATGGTATTTGTCTCTCTGCTTCTCTACTTATGGGTATGGAGAGATAAGATAATGCAATAATGTACATCCAAGAATGAATAGCTTTGTTCAAAGAATAATGATGATCTTATTTTGCTTAGAGATTAGTAGGACAGGATGTCCTAGTTCAGGTGCTGCAGTGTAATGTAAGGCACTGAGTGACCACTGATCACCTGATTGAGGCTAAAGTAAAATCTTTAGACAGAAGTTTTAGCCTTTAATCTTAGTGATTTCACCTCTTAAAAAAAAAGCCAACAAAACAACTACGAGAAGGTATACTTGATATACTAGACAGCACAAGTGTGATAAACAAAAGCAATCATGATAAAAGAAATTTAGAACATTCATTCAGGTAAGTTTTAAATATTTGCTTTGCACAACAATAATAAAAAAGGACAAGTTTCAAGAAAAAGAAGGACAGAAATATGGGAAGTGGGAGAATTGATTAGAATTGAGGCATTCTCAGTGTTCTTCAGAAGGAAGGTACATATTGATTAAACTTAGACATTAACATTCATGATGTAGCTACTAACTGTTTTTTTTTGTCGGTCATGGGACTTGAACTCTGGGCTTGAGTACTGTCCCTCAGCTCTTCAGCTCAAGGCTAGGGCTCTACCATTTGAGCTACAGCACCACTTCTGGTTTTCTGGTGGTTTATTGAAGATAAGAGTTTCACGGACTTTTCTGCCTGGGCTGGCTTTGAACCATGATCCTCAGATCTCAGCCTCCTGAGTAGCTAGGATTACAGGCGTGAGCCACCGGCATCCGGTGCTACTAACTTTTTAATGATAACCTTACAATGCAGAAACAAAACATTTCCTAGACCAGTATAAGTTAAAATAAGGATAAGGAAAATCCCTGCCACCTAAATTAGAATGGAAGGAAGGTGTAGTGGTACATACATATAATCCTAGCACTCAGGAGGCTGAGGCCAAAGGGTCACAAGTTCCAGGCCAGCTTGAACTATATAGTGAGACTTTGTCTCAGAATTAAAGACAAAAAATGAAAAGGAGGAAGAGAGGATATTGAAGACAAAACATTCCCAAGTTAGATTTAAGAAATATATTTGAATAGATCAACTTGAATATTATTGCAAGAAACAGGTTGGTAAAGATAAATCACCAGAGTTAGTTAAAAAAAAATCTTAACAATAACAGCTGTTCTGGGTGTCAGCTCATGCCTGCAATTCTGCCTACTCAGGAGGTTGAGGATTGGGTTTGGTAGAAAAGACTCCATCTCCAATTAAACAACCAAACTGAAAGTGTGGCTTAAACGGTAGAGTGCAAATAACTAAAAGGAAAAGCAACAAAAGCCCTACTGAAGCTGGGCTGGTGGCTCACGCCTGTAATCCTAGCTGCTCAGGTTGCTGAGATCTGAGGATTGCAGTTCAAAGCCAGGCCCAGTAAAAAAGTCTGTGAGACTCTTATCTCCAATTAACTACAGAAAACTGGAAGTGGAGCTGTGACTCAAAAGTGGTAAAATAGCTCAGGGACAGTGCTCAGGCCCATTGAGTTCAAGCCCCACAATTGACAAAACAAAACAAAATACCCTCCTCCTCCACAAACCCCACAAAAACCTACTGAAATATGAAAACATAAAGATTGAGAAAGAGACCCAATAATTGTATGACCTATTGTCCAAGAATAGGTTTGTTATGTCTAGATTGTGCTTTCTGGACATCCAGAAACTACACCACCTACATCAACTAAGTAAAAAATCAAAGAGGAGACATTGAGATGATTGAAAGCTCAAATAGAAGCCTTGGACTAAATGATGGGATCATTGAAAACCAACTATCCCCCACAAAACACATTTTAACAGTTGGAATGATTTCTTTGGCCATTCTGAGTCTCTCCTTTTCTGTCCCTTTCCACAGTTCATTCACCCAGTTGTTCAAAGGTTGCAGCAATCTGAAAACAACTGCAGTTGAAAGGTGCCAGATGTTTGGAAATAAAAGCAAATAGGCCTTTGTTCCAGCCTCCCCAGGACTCACAGGCCAGCCCTGGCTGTCATTCCCAAGTTATAATGAGATTCAGTCCTTCAAGATCCAGACCTTTTCTTCATGTTGGAATGTGAACTCTGCAGGACAGCCACTTGCTAAAGCTCCCACTCACGTTCTTTCTTTCATGGTGCTCTGAGCTGGGGACCCATGGATCAGGCCCCAGGATCAGACTGTTCTTCCCAGGGTTAGGGCTGGCAAACATTGATCTCCTGTCCTCAACAAAGAGTAAGAGAAGGATAAAGGCTAGGGTCTTCCCAAACAATAACCGTTGCTGTATTATCCACAAATCTAAAAAAAATTCAAATAACCTCAGATTGGTTTTGAATTTGTAATTTTCGTCATTCAAATTAATAAACATTTACATACTGTATTCACCCATTTTCTGTGGTCCATCATTCACCTACCACAGGGTAGGTGAATTACAAAGAAAGGAAGTTTTCCTGGAGGTATATCTGAAGCCAAATAGATTGTTATTAGCAATGTAATATAAAGAATGTTGGAACCACTGGCTAGAAACTTGGGCAACAAATATCAGACCCTTCTTCATTGCAGTAATAGGCAACATTTAAAATCTCCCCTGGTATCTTCATTCAGGGTTACTTTCATGATTGCCTTTGTATGTCCTGTGGCATAGTTGGTCTTAAGACACAGAGGTGATCCTGGCTTATTTGGGGTTGGCACCCAATGAGGCTTTCAAAGTAGAAGGTGTGGAGTCACATCAGAGAAGTTAGAAGCCACAGCAGGAGCTCTTCTCTGGACCCTGAAGAACAACCTACCATATTATGAACGGACCACAACAGAATGAGCATGGTCTCTGAAGGCTGAAGATGGCACCTCAGCTGGCAAGCAGGAAGGACCTGGGGGCCACAGACCTATCATGAGCCTTGCTGAATTCTGCCTAGAGCCTGAATGAACTTGAAAGCAGTTTCTACCCAGAAGCTTCCTGGTTAGTCACTTGATGTTAGCCCATTGAGACCCTAATGTTTTTAGCTCAGACTGCACTGTGAATTTTGTAATAAGGTGCCAGACTTCTGACTGAGAGAACTGAGAGGTAATAGACTTGTATTGTTTTTCTTTGCTCAATTTGTGACAATTTGTTAAAGAGCAGAAGATGAAGACAATTCCTTATGCCAAAATAAATTCCATATGGAACAATGATGAATAGATATGATTGCAAAAAGTCCAATATTTTATGCTAAAATTATCATAAAATATAAACCAACTAGAAAAATGTGAGTAGCATGTATAAGAGCCAATTATTCCAGTATTTTAAAAATGTACTCAAATCAGTCATCAATTTTAAATGCTTAGCCTTACCTAAAATAAAATAATAATATAATAAAATAAAAAAATATATGAGTATTTCATTTAACTTTTATCAGTAAACATCAAAAGGTTTCTCTTGGGTGGGAATAACAGGCACTTACATGTAATTTTTATGATGTACATAATTGTGTCCTTTGAAGAGCAACTTGACAGTATCTATCACAATTTAAAATGCACAAACCTTAGCAACCCTACTTTTCTAAATTTATCCTAAAGATAACTCATAAATATGTACAAAATGGCACGGCCATTGTTACATATCCAGAACTTCCAGTGCTGAATATGCTTCAAAACTTAAAACTGCTTGGATTTTAGAAAGATAACGTTGTTGCAGACAATACAGTGTGTTTTGTAACAACTCTAGTGGGAGTTGGGATAACAACCTATAATCAAGCCCAGTTATATGTCAGCAAAAAAGATACATGAATTTACATTAAGCGGTACAAATAAAGACTATAAATAGCCTCATAGCAGCTCAGCTATAGTTTAGCTGCTGGATGAATGTGCCAAACTGTTGAAAAGACTCAGTTTTCTAAGCTGTTTGCGCTTTGGAATTGCAGATAAGGGATTTTAGACTTGTAGAAGAACATTTATTACAGCCTTTTTTTCCCCCCTGTAACAGCAAAAGAGTAGAGAAATTTAAGCATCTTTATCCAGCCTCTAGGGTTCTGGTAAAGAATGATGTCATAGCTATAAAATATATTAAAAGTAGTACTAGCGTTATAAAAAAGAGTGACTTTCAAAAAGATGGTGGATTAGGTGAATAAAACTGGATACAGTATTGTGAAATGTATATTTTTGTCTTTATGTGCAACACACACACAATCGCTCACAATTCAGAAGCAGGAAGGATCTATATATTGAAAAAATAAACAAACTGAGTTTTGTGATGGTGACAGTGGGGAAATGAACTAAACCAAGAGAAGCGCTAAGCAGTCTTTCCACTCCGTTCTGGTACTGAAGTTGTGCTTCACATAGTTCATTGTATTTTTATTATACACGTATTACTCAGAAAAAAATCTCTAGACTTTTATATAGTTAGTTCAAGTTGGATTCTCTGGAGCTGCAACTCTAGCGTTCACCTTCCGCATGAAGGGTGCGTGGGAAGATGGCTCCCGAGAGCAGAGAGACAAAGAAATGGAAATCTTTTGCGGAGGTTCAGTTTTAAGTGTGGGCAGCTGAGCTGGATGACCTGGTTGGCATGATAAAAATTGTAGATAATTGTGATAGTACCTATAATTCCTTATCAAGATCTAGATTATATTCTGCTTGGGCTTTTAAAACAAAGACATCAAGGGGGGGGGAACCCCAAAACCATTTGCACCTCTAACTGCTCAGTGAAAAGGAGAAATGAGAAGAGATGAGAAATTAGAATGTGACCTCGGAATGACAGTGTCTCTATTTTCATATTCAGGATGAAAGGGAAACCAACTGGAACAATGACACGTTTTTAGTATGAAGCCCCAAACAAAGCTGAACACAAAGTCCTAACAGCAATGGCCTCTGGGTGGAAGATGAGCGCCTTGGGAGAAGCTTCATGG